GTATTTGTCCCTTTGAGATTGGCTTATTTCACTAACAATGATGTTTTGCGGTTTCATCCATTTTGTGGAAAATGGCTAGGTCTTTCTTTTGTGTGTTTTTTGGTTGTTTTTAGCTTTGTGTAGTACTCCATGGTGTACATATCCCAGTCTTCAGTTGATGGAAACTTGGGTTGATTCCATGACTTAGCCATTGTGACTTGAGCTGCAATAAACAAGGGGGTGCAGATAACTTTAACATGCTGATTTAATTTCTTTGGGTAAATGCCCAGGAGTGGGATGGCTGGGTCATATGGCAGGTCTATATTCAGATTTCTGAGGTATCTCCATATGTCTTCCACAGTGGCTGTACCAGTTTACATTCCCACCAGCAGTGGATTAGGGTACCTTTTTCCCTACATCCTTGCCTGCATTTGTTTGCTGATTTCTGTATGAAAGCCATACTAACGGGAGTGGTTTAGATTTGCGTTTCCCTGATGGCTGGTGGTCCTGAGCATTTTTTTCATGTATCTGTTGGTCATTTGGATTTCCTCTTTTGAAAAATGCCTGTTTGAGTCCTTTGCCCATTTCTTAACTGGGTTGTTTGTTTTGTTGTGGAGTTTCTTGATCTCTTTATATATTCTGGTTATTAATCCTTTATCAGTTGTACAGTTTGCAAATAATTCCTCCCATTCTGTCAGTAGCCTCTTCAGTTTGTTGACTGTTTCTTTTGCAGTACAGAAGCTTCTCAATTTGATGTAATCCCATTTGTCAGTTTTGGTTTTGATTGTCTGTGCCTCTGGGGTCTTTTCCAAGAACTCTTTGCCCATGCCAATGTCTTTCCCTAAGGTTCTCTAATTTGATGGTATCAGATCATAGATTTATGTCTTTAATCCATTTTGAGTGGATCTTTGTGTAAGGTGTAAGGTAGGGGCCTTCGTTCATACTTCTGCGTGTGGAGATCTGGTTTTCCCAGCACCATTTGTTGAAGAGACTGTCCTTGCTCCAGGGGTTGATTATAGCTCCCTTGTCAAAGATAAGTTGGTTGTAGATGTGTGGATTGATTTCTGGCATTTCTATTTTGTTCCATTGGTCTATCCATCTGTTTTTGTATCAGTACCAGGCTGTTTTTATTATAACTGTCCTGTATATCTTGAAATATGGTATTGTGATGTCTCTGGCTTTGTTTTTGTTGTATAAGATTGATTTAGCTGTTTGGGGCCTCATGTGTTTCCATATGAATTTCAGCATTTGTTAATGTATCTGAGAAGAATGTCCTTGGTATTTTGATTGGTATTGCATTGAATCTGTAAATTGCTTTCAGTAATATGGACATTTTAATTATTCTTCTAATCCATGAACATGGAAGATTTTTTCAGTTTTTGGTGGCTTCTATTTCTTTAATGTTTTGTAATTCTCATTGAAATTTCTCATAGAAATCTTTGACATCCTTGTTTAAATTTATTACAAGGTATTTGATTTTTTTGTGTGTGTGTGTATGGCTATTGTGAATGGGATTCATCTTAGAAGTACTTTCTTGGAGCTGGTGCTTTGGCATAGCAGGTAAAGCCGCTGCCTGCAGTGCTGGCATCCCATATGGGCACTGGTTTGAGTCCTGGCTGCTTCACTTCCCATCTAGCTCTCTGCTGTGGCCTGGGAATGCAGCAGAAAATGCCCCAAGTCCTTGGACCCCTGCATTTGTGTGGGAGACCCAGAAAAAGCTCCTGGCTTTGGATCGGCGCAGATCCTACCATTGCAGCCAATTGGAGAGTGAACCAGCAGATGGAAGACTGATCTCTCTCTCTCTCTCTCTCTGCCTCTCCTCTCACTGTGTAACTCTGACTTTCAAATAATGTTTTGCATGTGGAGATCTGGTTTTCCCAGCACCATTTGTTGAAGATGTTCTTTCTCAGCCATGGTACTGTCTGTGTATATAAAAGCTGTTGATTTTTTCGTGTTGATTTTATATCCTGACGCTTTACCAAACTCTTCTATGAGTTCCAATAGTCTCTTAGTGGCATCTTTTGGATCCCATATATATAGACTCATGCCATCTGCAAATAGGGATAGTTTGACTTCCTCTTTCCCAATTTGTATCCTTTTGATTTCTTTTTCTTGCCTAATGGCTCTGGCTATAATGTCCAGGACTATATTGAATAGTAATGGTGAGAGTGGACATCCCTGTCTGGTTCCGGATCTCTGTGGGATACTTCCAGTTTTTCCCCATTCAATAGGATGCTGGCCATGGGTTTGTCATAAATTGCCTTGATTGTGTTGAAGAATGCTTAGAGTTTTCATCATGAAAGGGTGTTGTATTTTACCAAATGCTTTCTCTGCATCTATTGAGATAATCATATGGGTTTTGTTTTTCAGTTTGTTAATGTGGTATATCACATTGATTAGCAAATGTTGAACCATCCTTGCCTACCAGGGAGGGATAAATCCCACTTGTTATAGGTGAATGATCTTTCTGATGTGTTTTTGGATTCAGTTGGCTAGAATTTTGTTGAAGATTTTTGCATCTGTGTTCATCAGGGAAATTGGTCTGTAGTTCTCTTTGTTGTATCTGTGTAGTTCTTTTGTACAGGTTTAGGAATTAAGGTGATGCTGTCTTCATAGAAGGAATTTGGGAGGATTCCCTCCCTTTCAGTTCTTTTGAATAGCTTGAGAAGAATTGGAGTTAGTTCTTTAATGTCTGGTAGAATTCAGCAGTGAAGGTGTCTGGTCCTGGGCTTTTCTTTTTTGGGAGGGTCTTTATTACTGATTCAATTTCTGTCTGGACTGTTGATCTGTTTGGGTTTTCTGTGTCTTCATGGCTCAATTTAGGTAGGTTGTATGTGTCCAGGAATCTATCCATATCTTCTATGTTTCCCAGTTTGTTGGCATACAGCTTTTTGTAGTAATTCCTGATGATTCTTTTTATTTCTGTGGTGTCTGTTGTTAAATTTTCTCTTTCATCTCTAATTTTATTGATTTTGGTCTTCTCCCCCTTTTTTTTAATTGGGCCAATGGTGTATCAATTTTGTTTGTTTTGGGTCGTTTGATAGTATCCCATAGATGTCCAAGAGTGTTTTTTAGTTTTCTAATTTTTCTTTTTTTGGTCTGACTATAAAATTTCCAGCAATCTGTCTTTAACTTGGATATTCTTTCTTCTGCTTCACCGAGTCTGTTGCTAAGGATTTCCATTGCATTTTCTACTTGTTCTATTGAATTCTTCATTTCCAAGATTTCATTTTGATTTGGTAAATCTTCTATTTATTTACTTACTTACTTACTTAGCAGAGAGGAGGTTTGTTCTGCTCTATTGGCTTATTCTCTTGCTCACCTCCTCTCCTCAAAGGAGACCAGTGCCTGGGTGCTAGCCCTAGTGGGTACAATATGCATCTGCACTGCCACAAGAAGCACACAGCGAATCTGAGCAGTCCTTGATGTGACCATGGATGCCATAGCAATGACCCTCACCAGGGAATCCAGGAGCATGGGGAGCCTCCCACAGTGACTGTGCAAAGTCCCATGCACACCCTGAGCCCTCCCACACAGCCACAGCGTTTCTCACAGTCCGGGCTCACAAGCCTCCCACGGTCAGCCCCTTCAGTTCTCCCAGCCAGTCTCGGGTGTCTCAGCTTGGCTAGTCGCTGGGCGCATGGACATGAACTGGGGTAGCTCTTACATAAGTCCAAATAGTGCCCACCCTCCCTCGGCTTGTTACAGGATGCTGGTGCAGGGTGGTCGGGGAGAGAGGAACATGCCACCTTATTTTCTCTTCTAGTTTGGCAGGTACGCTGTCCCCCACAGGGCTCCAAGCTGGATTCCTGCTAGGCTCTTACCACAGCTTTATCACCAGTGGCTTGGGCTGCTACAGTCTGGTCTCACTGCACTCTCCACAGCTGGTGCTGAAGTTCTCAGCTGCTGGTCCTGAGTTGGGTGTGTCCACATCCTCCATATAGGTCCAAATGTCCCTCTAATTTGCATGTCATTTCTTCTGTGGCTTTCTTCCTAATTCTTCGCTAAGATCACACTCTCTCCACTTTTTTTCTGAACCTCTGTTATTCAGAACTTTCAGGATAAATGTAGTTGGGAAAAGTATATTTTTATACTTTTATATATACCATACTTTTATACTTTTATATATACCATAGGCCATCCCACAACAAATGTGGGGGAGGGATAGCAGTAGCCACAGCCTTTCAGCTGTGGGAGGCACGGTTCTCCTGGCATGCCGTGGCAGGCAAAGGAGAGAGAATGAGTTCCTAAGAAGTTTGCCACCATCTGGATACCAGGAGGGTAAGGCAGAGGTTCTTGCAGTGTTTCTCACCATCGTCTTGGAGCCATTTCCTCATATAAACTGTGTTCTTTATTCATTAATAGCAAAAACAATTCAACTCCGTTCTCATTAATCAAAGTAATGAGGACAGGCGTTTAGCCTAGTGGTTAAGACCCTGCTTGGGAAATACACATCCCATATCAGAGTGCCTCAGCTTGAGTCTGGCTCCACTTTTGATCACAGTTTTCTGCTATTAGCCTGGGAGGCAGCAGGTGATGGTTCAAATAGTGGTCCCTGCCATGCTCCTGTGAGATATACGTTGAGTTCCTAGCTCCTGACTTTGATTTGGCCCAGCCGGTCTGTTGTGGGCATTTGGGGAGTGAACCAGTGGAAGGGAATTCTGTTTGTCTCTATGGCTCTCTGCCTCTCAAAATAGAAACTCTAAAAAGAAGTTCTTTAAAAAATGGTGCTTTTTTGATGACATGTTAGGGTTAGATCTATGCTAGCAACATTGATACACCGCAAATTAACTTTCTCTTCTAAAATGGTTTGTTTCCAAATTGCAACAAGCTTCCTGCCAATGGAAATTTAAAAAGTAAAAGATTGCATAGCTTGAAGGAAGAGAGATGTGTTATAGTTTCTACCAAAACAATTTTAAAAGCAGAAATCAAAGGAAACGCCTTTCATGTGCAGATTTGAATCTGAATCTTGAATTCCAGTTCACATGAAAGAATTAATCATAACACCTTTTTTTCCTTAGGTAATTTTGTGAGAACAATTTTGCAGCCTGCTCTTCAGTTGATTGCCAGTGAAGATGACGATAGCATTTCAGAGACAGTGGACCAGGGATTTTCCCACTTTTCTGAAGCACCAACAAAACAAGGGGCTTCGTGTAACAAAATGTCCCCAGATAAGGACACAGGAGAGAGCTGGACATTGAATTCAGAGAAGCTGAGGCAGCTGGGATCAGCGAAGCAAAGCGATCCTGATCTTTCATTTTTAGTTGTGAAGAATAATGTGGGAGAAAAGCATCTTTTTGTAGATCTAGGTAAGTAACATTGACAGTTGTTTCTTTCTGACTGTCCTGATGTCCTCTTGTGAGACACCTGTCCATGCTCACTGTCACTGTGCACAGGGTTCTCATTACCATCTCATTATCATCGCGCTCCCCAGCGACAGTGCAGGTCAGGAACAGAATGTGATCAGCCCGCTTAGGCTTGGGGAATCCACAAGGCTTCAGTTCAGAGATCTTGGGGCGATCCCTGTGGAACAGAAGCCCCAGCCTGGCCTGGGCTCTGAACGAGAGTGCCTGTGGCATGCTCTGCTCCAAGTGTCCAGGGAGTTCTGTGAGGGAATGGGGAGACCTGCACCCTCCAGCATGCCAAGAGTTTAAAGCAGATTCAGTCAACTTGAGAAACAATATAAAAATGGTACTCACATCACAAAGCAAGGCTGAGCTTGCTCTTCCCTGAAGAGCTTTGTGGTAGAGGCAGGGCAGGCTTTTGATCCTGGCCGGGACCCTCGAGTTAGCCTTCTTTCACAGACTGGTGACTTCTGCACCCAACCGTGCTCAGTTTGGGTCTCTGAACCTGAGTGTGTAGAAGGCTCTAGTGTGGCAAGACTTAAGCCTGATGTAATATACAACCTAATGAAGTTCTAACTTGTGATTTGGAAAGCTGTAAGAGCATTTTTGCCATTGAGCACTTCAGAGAGCTGCAGTGCACACAGGTTGAGGGCAAGTGGGCTTTAATTTGGGGCAATGTTTTCGGGCTGACAGTGGTACCAAGGTTAGAGAATTGTTCCTGATTATCTTTCCAGTGCCCCTGAATCAAGTGCCAGAATTTGGAAATCTAAGTCGGGTAAGTGCAGTGTGTCAGTTTTGGTAGGCCTAGGATCAAGCAAAGATAATGCATAACAGTAAGAGCAACATTATCCAATAAATATGCTGTGCCTCTAACCCAGTGTTGAAGTCCCTAAACAGAATACCCCCGTTCATGACCGTTCTATCCTTGAAGTCACATTACTGGGAAATAATAGGAATTAGGAAGAAATAACAGGAAAACAGTCAGGAAATTTCTCTGGTATTCTTGAATGACAGATTTTAACAATATATATTTACATATTAAAAGAGGATGAGGAAGTATTTTACTTGAACTATCCTTTGAAAGTTTCAGAGATTTAATAGTACATGCAGATTTTTGTTGTTTAAATTTTATCTTATTGTAGTTCTATAGTATGTCTTGAAATCAGGAATTGTGATACCTCCAGCTTTGTTCTTTTTAAAAAAAGATTTATTTATTTGAGAGGCAGAGTTATAGACAGAGAGGTCTTCCATCCACTAATTCACTCCTCAGATGGTTGCAACGGTCAGAGGAGAGCCAATCTGAAGCCAGGAGCCAGGAGCTTCCTCTGGGTCTTGTTCTTTAAGACTTCCTATTACTAATTGAATTTCATTGCTGCTGTTGGTCTGTTCAGGTTTTCTATGTCTGCATGGCGCAATTTGAGTAGTTGTGTTGTCCAGAAATTTATTCATTTATTCTAGATTTTCTAATTTTTTTTATTGTATAGTTTCAAATAGTTCCTACTCTGGTATGAGTTATAATGTGTCTTTTACCTCTGGATTTATTTTAGTCTTCTCTCATTTTCTGGTTACTCTTGTTAAATGTTTTTGGATTTTTGTTCATCTCTTCAAAAATCCAAATTATCATTGATCTTTTGTATTTTTATTTTCTTGGATTTACTTCTTTGACTTTTGTAATTTTGTCCTATTAACTTTGGAATTGCTTTTTTTTTCAGTTACCTATGATACATCATTAGGGGTGTTTTGATTTTTTTTTTATGTAACTGCTTATTGCTGTACACTTCTTAGTACTGCTTTTGCTTCATGCCATACATTTTGTTGTATCCTATAGATTTGTTGTGTTTCTATTTTTGTTTCAAGGAATTTTAATATTTCCCTTTTGATTGCTTTGATTCACTCCCCAAATGACTGCAATGGGCAGAGCTGAGCCTATCTGAAGTCAGGAGCCAGGAGCTTCCTCTGGGTCTCACACGTGGATGCAGGGGCCCAAGGACTTGATCCATCCTCTGCTGCTTTCCCAGGTGCATTAGCAGGGAGCTAGATAGGAAGTGGAGCAGCTGGGACTCGAACTGGCGTCCATATGGGATGCCAATGCTGCAGGACAGGGCTTTAACCCATTGCACCACAGCACTGGCCTGCCCCATATATTTTTATAATTCCTAAAGTTAATTTTGCTGTTCATTTCTAGTTTTTATTCCATTGTGGTCAGAAAAGACAAATGTTATGATTTTGATTATTTTTTTTCTTGAGACTTGTTTTGTGGCATAGTGTATGGTTTATTCTTGAGATCTTAATATGTTGATGAAAGGAATGTGTACTCTACAGCTGTTGGATGAAATGTTTTATAAATGTCATTAGGTTCACTTAGTTTATTGTACAGTTTAATTATTCTGAAAGGCAGGAAGAGACAAAGAGAGCGCTCTCCTATCTTCTAATTCATTTCCTAAGTGCCCACAGTAGCTGAGCTGGGCCAGGTCCAAGCTGGGATCCAGGAAGCTAATCTGGTCTCTTATTTGGGTACAGGGATCCAACTACTTGAGCCATCACCTGTTGCCTCCCAAGGTACGCAATATCAGGAAGCTGGAGTCAGGGGTGTATGTAGTACTCAGCCCCAGGCACTCTGCTATAGGATGCTGGTGTCCCAAGAATGTCTTAACTATTGCACCAAATGCTTGCCCCTGTGATATAGTTTAACTATGATATTTCTTTGCTGATTTTTCTTTTGGTCTGGATGATCTTTCTACTGATGGAAACGGTGTTTATGTCCCTCACTATTGTTGTGTTTGGGCTTATCTCTCCCTTTATATCTGATGTTTGCTTTATGAAATTTGGCACTGTAGCCTTGCAAAAACACTTAAAGTCATCTTTTTGATGAATTGATCCTTTGATCATTATATAATGACTTTCTTTGTCTCTTTACAGTTTTTGTCTTAAAGTCATATTGTCTGATGAGTACAGTTATTCCTGCTCATTTCTGGTTCCATTTGCAGGGGATATCTTTTTCCATCCTTTCACTTTCAGCCGGTGTCTTTCTTTATTGGGGATTTAAGTTTCTTGTAGGCAGTATATCACTGAACTTTTTTTGTATTTTTTTTTTTAAGATTTTATCTATTTATTTGAGAGACAGTTACAGTCAGAGAGAGGGAGAGACAAAGAGAAAGATCTTCCATCTGTTGGTTCACTCTCCAAATGGCTGCAATGACCAGAGCTCGGCCGATATGAAGCCAGATGCCTGGAGCTTCTTTCGGGTCCAAGTGCTTGGGCCATCTTCTAATTTTCCAGGCCCTACCAGAGAGCTGGATCGGAAGAGAAGCATCTGGGACACAAACTAGTGCCCCTGTGGGATGCTGGTGCTGAAGGCAGAGGCGTAGCCTACTGTGCCACAGTACTGGCCCTTGGACTTTTTTTTTTTAACCCATTCAGCCATGTGTATCTTTTATTTAGAGAAGTTCATTTAAATTTATTTTTTGGTAAGTTATGAATTAGTCCTTTTTTAAAAATTTCTTTTTATTTTGAATATTCTTTGTTTTTTTTTTCTAGTATTTTTAAACTTTTATACAGTTTTTATGGTGATAATTATCTTTCTTTTGCTTTTCTCTGTAGCACTTCCTTAAGCATTTTTTGTAAGGCAATCTGGTGGTGATGAAGTCTGTTTTTCTCATCTTAGTAAATATTTCTTGTTCATTTGTGAAAGAGCTTTTCCAAGTATAGTGTTCTTAATTGACAGTTTTTTTTTTTTCTTCAGAACTTGTAATATATCACTTTCCCTCTTGGCTTGTAAGGTTTCTTTTGAGGAATCTGCTGTTGGTCTCGTGGGAACTCCCTTAAGTGTGACTTGAAGCTGTTCTCTTGCAGATTGTAGAATTCTCTCTCCATAGTATATATATTTTTTCTTTTCTTTTCTTTTTTTTTTTTTTTTTTTTGACAGGCAGAGTAGACAGTGAGAGAGACAGAGAGAAAGGTCTTCCTTTGCCGTTGGTTCACCCTCCAATGGCCACCGTGGCCGGCGCACTGTGCTGATCCAATGGCAGGAGCCAGGTACTTATCCTGGTCTCCCATGGGGTGCAGGGCCCAAGCACTTGGGCCATCCTCCACTGCCTTCCCGGGCCACAGCAGAGAGCTGGCCTGGAAGAGGGGCAACTGGGACAGAATCCGGCGCCCCGACCGGGACTAGAACCCGGTGTGCTGGCGCCGCTAGGTGGAGGATTAGCCTATTGAGCCGTGGTGTCTTTGATGAATCAAAGTTACTACCTTTAAATAATAGTAATAGTCTGATTTATTAGTGTTTTCCTCTGTGGTTATTTATTGGAATTCTGTAAAATATCTTTGCTTATCCCCGGGTCTTGAAGATATTCTGCTTATCTGTATTAACTTTTTTAAAAAATTAATATTTAAAAATTTTTTTGAAATTTATTTTTTAAGGAATACAAATTTCATAGGTACAACTTTAGGAATATTGTTACTCTTCTCACCATATCAGCCCTCCCACCCACACTTCCAACCCATCTCTTCCTTCTCTCCTTGCCAGTACCATTCTCCATTAAGATTGATTTTCAATTAACTTTGTACACAGAAGACCAACTCTATGTTAAGTAGATTTCAACAATTTGTGTGTGCACTTGTGCGTGCACACACACACACACAAACCTGGGAAACTGGTTTTACAATTAATTCTCAGTACAACTCATTGAGGACAAATGTCCTGCATGGGGAGTTAGTGCACAGTGACTCCTGTTGTTAATTTAACAATTAACACTCTTATGTATGACGTTAGTGACCACCCAAGGCTCTTGAAATGAGCTGTCTGGGCTATGGAAGCCTTTTGAGTCCACAAACTCCGTCAGTATTTGGACAAGGCCATAAGCAAAGTGGAAGTTCTGTCCTTCCTTTAGATAAAAGTACATCCTTCTTTGATGGCGACTTCTTTTCACTGGGATCTCTCTCACAGAGATCCTTCATGTAGAACATTTTTTGCCACAGTGTCTTGGCTTTCCATGCTTGAAATGCTCTCATGGGCTTTTCAGCCAGACCAGGAAGACTTAAGGCTGATTCTGAGGTCAGAGTGTTATTTAAAGCGATTGTCATTCTATGAGTCTGTTGTGTGGACTGCTTCCCATGTTGGACATCCTCTCCTTTTTAATTCTATTACCAGGCACTTGATCCTGCCTATATGTTCACTTTAACAGTTAATATGATCACTTCAACAATTAAGATGGCATTTTTACCACCAAGTTTAATGGGATTTGGAGTCCCTTGACAAATTTGTAACTGTATCCTTAGAAGTAAGTCTGTAGGAATGTATGCAGAACTATATATATTAATAGGTAAAAACATCCTCCTCCCTCCCTTATTCCCACTCTTATGTTTTACTGATATCTATTTTCACTTGACTTTATATACGTAAGATTAACTCTATGTTAAATAAAGAGTTCAAATAGGATGCAGAAAAAAAAATCCAAAGCCAGGAGCCAGGTGCTTCCTCCTGGTCTCCCATGCGGGTGCAGGGGCCAAGCACTTGGGCCATCCTCCGCTGCCTACTGGGCCACAGCAGAGAGCTGGACTGGAAGAGGAGTAACTGGGACTAGGACCTGGCAGCCATATGGATGGTGGCACTGCAGGCGGAAGATTAACCAAGTGAGCCACGGTGCTGCCCCCCCCAGGGTTTTTATAGTCCCCAGGCAAACAAGTATTAGGTTGTCTGCATTCCTTCTTTCCCCTGGCCCTGCTGGACCAAGGATGGCCCACCTTATTGATTGCCCCCACCTGGTCCTGGCAGACCAAGGACTGCCCGGTGTCAGGTTTCAGCACAGAGAAGCATCCTGGGCCTAGCCACTTCCTTTGTCTTGTGAGAAGCCTGTCATGGCGTGGCTCTGGCCTCTCACAGTGTGGGATGCAGACGCCGCAAGCAGAGAACTAACTTACTGTGCCACAGCACAGGCCCCCATTTGTTTTCAATTGAAAAGTTGATAGAAAACTGTCTAGCTTGTACTTTCTGGAAATAGCATTCTTCCATGTCAATTCTAAATTATCTTCATACCTCAAAAGGCTCATGGAAAATCAAACTAAAAGATAAATTTATTTTGGTGCAAACAATTCTTGAAATCTGTGCTTGCAAGGGTTCTTCAGAATCTTCATGGAAATTGCACAGATTTCATACATACTACTTTACTAATTTTTGATGTAGGAGTTTATACAAGAAATAGAAACTTCCGGCTGTATAAGTCATCAAAACTAGGAAAGCATGTGGCTTTGGAGATTGCTGAAGATAACAAATTCTTTCCTAAACAATCAAAAACGATTCCTGAAGAAAACCAGTATTTCCTCTCTTCTTTGGTATGCAATGTCAGGTATGTAGGCAAAAATTAAACTGTTGTATACTCCTGATTGATTATTCAGTCATGAATGCTATTGCATATTGCTAAAAAGTGAATTGTGTAAATTCATCCTATCTCAAGAAAATGACTCTCCATTCTTAAAATACTCTTTTCTGAGATTTTTAGCCACTTAGTTTCCTCTCTGTATCTTTTTTTTTTTTTTTTTTGACAGAGTGGACAGTGAGAGAGACAGAGAGAAAGGTCTTCCTTTGCCGTTGGCTCACCCTCCAATGGCCACCGTGGCCGAGGCATTATGACCGGCGCACCGCGCTGATCGATGGAAGGAGCCAGGTGCTTCTCCTGGTCTCCTATGGGGTGCAGGGTCCCAGTACTTGGGCCATCCTCCACTGCACTCCCTGGCCACCGCAGAGAGCTGGCCTGGAAGAGGGGCAACCGGGACAGAATCCGGCACCCCAACCGGGACTAGAACCCGGTGTGCCGGCGCCGCAAGGCAGAGGATTAGCCTAGTGAGCCGTGGCGCCGGCTCCTCTTTGCATCTTTTAAATGATTATATCACGTATTTTTCAGTTTTTCTAAAATGAATATCACTTTTATAAAGAATGAAAACAACTACCTGAGCTGGACCGGAAGAGAATCAGCTGAGACGTGAACCTGGCCCATGTGGGATGCTGGTGCTGCAGGTGGAGGCTTAGCCTGCCACGCCACAGCGCTGGCCCCACTTCCTTTATTTTTTAAAGTGGACATAATACCACCTATTTTCAGAATTTTTAGTAGAATTAAATATGTTAAAACCGTTCACATAAAATACTTAAAACAGTGCCCAGCACATGTTAGCATCTCAGGAGATGTCAGTTGGCACTAGTGGTGGATCTGAGAGTCTAGGAGTTGTATCAAAATTGTGTATCTCCTGCTGTGTTCCAATATCGATCCTACAGACAATGGAGGGCTCTTCCGTCGAATAGGATTACCTCAGGGCCCACGCTGTGGTACAGCTGGTAAAGTTGCTGACTACAGTGCTGGCATCCCATATGGGTGCCAGTTCAAGTCCCAGCTGCTCCACTTCAGATCCAGCTCCCTGTTCATGTGCCTGGGAAAGCAGGGAATGATGGCCCAAGTCCTTGGGCCCTGCACCCACATGGAAGACCTGGATGAAGCTCCTGTCTCCTGGCTTCAGCCGGGTCCACCCCTGGCTGTTGTGGCTCCTTGGGGAATACACCAACAGATGGAAGACCACTCTCTGTATCTCTCCCTTTCTCTATAATTCTCACTTTCAAAGAAATAGATTTTTTTTCTGGTGCTGTGGTACAGCGGGTTAAAGCCCTGGCCTGAAGCGCCGGCATCCCATATGGACGCCGGTTCTAGTCCCTGCTGCTCCTCTTCTGATCCAGCTCTCTGCTGTGGCCCACGATAGCCGTGAAGATGGCCCAAGTCCTTGGGCCCCTGCACCCATGTGGGAGACCCAGAAGAAGCTCCTGGCTCCTGGCTTTGGATCAGTGCAGCTCCAGCCATTGCGGCCACCTGAGGAGTGAACCAGTAGATGGAAGACCTCTCTCTCTCTGTCTCTACCTGTCTTTCAAATAAATAAAAATAAATCTTTAAAAAAATGTAGGATTACAGGAGCCGGAGCTGTGGCATAGCGGGTAAAGCTGCCACCTGCAGTGCTGGCATCCCATATGGGCACCGGTTCAAATCTCGGCTGCTCCACTTCCAATCCAGCTGTCTGCCATGGCCTGGGAAAGCAGCAGAAGATGGCCCAAGTGCTTGGGCACCTGCACCCGTTGGTAGACCTGGAAGAAACTTCTGGCTCCTGGCTTCAGATCGGCTCAGCTCCAGCCGTTGCAGCCAATTGGGAAGTGAACCAGCAGATGGAAGACCTCTTTCTCTGTCTCTCTGCCTCTCCTCCTCTCCCTGTGTAATTGACTTTCAAATAAATAAATAAATCTTTTTTAAAAAAATAAAAATTATCTTACTTTTCTTTTGTGTGTCTAAGTATATACCAGATATTTTTATTTCAAGGAGCCAAGGCTAAATTTTTTGATTACAAATGTGCCTTTTCTTTGAGTAAATTTTAATCAGTTTTTCCCTTTAATCTTTTTTTCTTCATATTTTGCTCTTATTCACGGTTTTTTCTTTTTTATTCACGGGTTTATAACAAATTTCAAAGGCTCCATGTGTTTGGGGAATAGTACGGTAGTTCATTCCCCAAATGCCCACAACATCCAGGGTTGGGCCAGGCTGAAGTTGGGAGCCAGGAACTCAGTCTGGGTTTCTCATGTGGGTGGCAGGGACCTAAATAGTTGAACCATCACTGTTGCCTCCCAGGTGCAGGTTAGCAGGAAGCTGGAATCAGAAGCAGGGCTGAGATTCAACCCAGGCTCCTGGATTTGTGATGCAAATGTCGTAAGTGGCATCTTAACTCTCAGGCCAGACTTCCCCCTGAGAAAACTGCTGAACAGTGATCATCCTACTCTGTTAAACTGACAAATTTTTTATTTTTTTAACTGACAAATCATACTTTTTTTTAGATGAATAGAATTGGTGTTTTTGTGGAGAAATGTGGCTTAGTTACAGATCTATTTGGAATTTAGTTTTCTTTCTATATATCCCTGCTTGTTTAATTCTAATATAATTTTTAATTATTTTCTTCAGATTCTCAGATACTTTACGAATTCTAACATGTGACACACCTCAGAATAAAAGAAAGCGAATGAAGCACTTTAATAGTACCAGCCCTTCAGGTAATTTTAAAAGTAATTTTCTATCAGAATTTAATGATTAAAAACTCACTTTGCCTTAAAAGGTCATACAACGTAAGTATTCATCTCTGCTGATTACTGGAGATTACTTTGAGGTTGCTATTCAAAGTGAAAAATGGTTTTAAAGATTATTATTAAAGTATTTACTAGTTTTCATTGTATGGAATTTTTCAAAACAGTATAAGGTGATTAGATTTTTTGATAAACACATGAAAATAAAGTAAAAATTCTCTTTACGCTTTTGTCCGCAGTCCAAGAGGGGGACCCTGCAGTAGTTTGCTACTTGGTCCTGCAGAGCTCCCCCTGTATTTTCAGTACAGGGAGATCTTCCTCATGCTTGTAGTGACTGCACAGTGTTTGTAGAGCGGCCCTATCAGGATTTACCCATGCTCGTCCTGAAGAAGTGCGGATTTTTCTCTTAAGGTTCCTTACATAAACCCTCCAGTAAATATTTTTATTAATATGTTTCAGTATATTGCTTTATTATAAGTAGGGAAAAACAAAAATAATTAAAGGTACAACAAAATTGGATTGGTGACATACCAATATTCTGTAGCCATTAAATTTAAATTTATAAAGCCTATATAATATGTAAAATACCCATTTATGATAAGATACAAAAGGCACTAAAATTTCATATGGTATGACCACAAGTTAGTGTAACTTTTTTGGTAGATTTAACAGTTTATTTTGGTTTTTGTCATTGAAAACAACCCATTCAACCATGTGCCACCTGCTTGGTGCAGTAGGAGTCAGGTCGTTGCTTGAAACTCTGATAGCCCACGTTGGAATGCCTGGTTTGGGTTCCTGCTACTCCACTCCCGATCCTGCTTCCTGCCAGTAAGCGTCCTCAGAGGCAGCCAGTAACGGCTCCAGTACTTGAGTCCCAGCTGGGAAACCCAGGTGAGTTCTGGGCTCCTGCCTTCAGCCGGGCTCAGACCTGAGGCATCCGGGGAGTGAACCAGGGAATAGAGGATCTCTCTGTCTGTCTCAGTGCCTTTCAAACAAAGTGGAAATAAATAAAAATCCTTAAGAGTGGTATGCAAAAAGTCTGCAAAATAATCTGTACTTTAAACATGTTTAAATGGTTATCTGAATTCTGGCTTGTTCAGTAGCTTTGTTATTACGTCACAGCAGCCAATGATCGTTTGCTTCAGTTGGAATATGCCTCCTAAATCCAGCTTCATTGCAGATTCCAGCTTCCCTGTAACTTGTGTCATTTGCCCTAGAAAACTTTTCTTTAGGGTTAAAATGGCTGTGTGAAGGGCATCTTCAAGTTTTCTTGAAAAGAAAATATCTTGAAAAGATATAATGGCAGAGCCGGCGCTGTGGCTCAGCTGGTTAATGCCCTGGCCAGGAGCACAGGCATCCTATATGGGTGCCGGTTCGAGTCCCGGTTGCTCCTTTTCTGATCCAGCTCTCTGCTATGGCCTGGGAAAGCAGTAGAAGATGGCCCAGGTCCTTGGGTCCCTGCACCCTTGTTGGAGACTCGAAGGAAGCTCCTGGCTCCTGGCTTCGGATTGGCCCAGCTCCAGCCGTTGTGGCCAACTGGGGGAGTGAACCAGTGGATGGAAGACCTCTCTCTCTCTGCCTCTCCTCTCTGTGTAATTCTGACTTTCAAATAAACAAACAAATCTTTAAAAAAAAAAAAAAAAAAAAAAGGCCGGTGCCACGGCTCACTAAGCTAATCCTCCGCCTGCGGCGCCAGTACCCCACGTTCTAGTCCCGGTTGGGGCACCAGGTTCTGTCCGGGTTGCTCCTCTTCCAATCCAGCTCTCTGCTGTGGCCTGGGAGTGCAGTGGAGGATGGCCCAGGTGCTTGGGCCCTGCACCCACAAGGGAGACCAGGAGGAAGCACCCCGCTCCGGCTTCAGATCAGTGCAGCGCGCTGGCCGTAGCAGCCATTAGGGGGTGAACCAACGGAAGAAAGACCTTTCTCTCTGTTTCTCTGTCTCTCACTAACTCTGCCTGTCTCAAAAAAAAAAAAAAAATGTAATGGAAGTCTGAAAGTTTTCCCATGCGCTTGGTTCTTTCCCATTGTTGTGGCTTTCCAGGCAAAGTAAGCTCCAGATGGTTCTGACTAAAATAAATATGGCTGCCTTTCATCCCAACCAAAATTAAGAAACTCCAGACAGACAGTACCTGACTGTGACTAAGTCTTGCATCCCAGAGCTCCTGTACCATTTGAGCTGTGGGAGTGGTTTCTTGGAAGACAAGAACATCTCCTCTTGCTAATGCCACAGCATTTGCAGCTTTTTAGAATTTTATCAATTTTTATTTATTTGAAAGATTTTCCATCCATTGGTTCACTCCCCAAATGCTTGCGGCAGTTTCGGGTGGGCAGGCTGAAGTGAGAAGCCTGGAACTCCATCTGGGTCTCCCACATGGTTGGTAGGGACTCTGATTCCTTGACCATCATCTGCTGCTCTCTGGTCTGAGCATTAGCAGGACGCTGGAATCAGGACTGTGGCGAGGACTTGAATGCAAGCGTTGTATGGGAGGTGAGCATCCCAGGCAGCACTTAACTGGTGCACCAAATGCCCATATGGTTTGCACCTCTAGTTCGCACTGAAGGAGCTCCTGCACCTACTGCAGCCAGAGCACATTCAGTGTGGACAAGTTGACCTGCCAGGCCGAAGGTGGCCAGTGAAGAGCTGCAGCCTGCTCCTCACATCCCTACACGTGGGAACTGCCTGGGTGACATTTTCTTACACATTTGTTTCCTCTGGTTGTTTAACATGTATTTCTTGACATTGATCTGGAACTCACTTCTCTCATTTTTACATTAATATATTTTCTTTATTTTTTTAAAGATTTATTTGAAAGGCAGAGTTAGAGAGGCAAAAACAGGGAGAGGGCCTTCAATTAGAGAGAGAGAGAGAGAATGAGAGAGAATGAGTCTTTAATCTGCTGGTTCATTGCCCAGATGTCGCAATGGCTGGAGCTGTGCCGATCGAAGCCAGGAGCTTCTTCCAGTCTCTCACAAGGGTATAGGGGCCCAATGATTTGGACCATCCTTCTACTGCTTTTCTAAGCCATAGCAGAGAGCTGGATCAGAAGTGGAGCAGCCAGGACTTGAACCAGTGCCCATATAGGAAGCTGGCACTGCAGGCTGCGGCTTTACCACTATGCCACAGTGCCAGCCCCCACATTAATATATTTTCTAAAATCTCTCCACTTATTTTCATAAGGGAAATATAGACTTCATTTTAAGAAAACTATTTGTCTTCAAAACTTAAATAGGGGGGCCATTGCTGTGGCATAGTGGGTAAAGCTGCCACCTATAGAGCTGGCATCCCTTATGGGTGCCGGCTCGAGTCTTGGCTGCTCCAGTTCCGATCCAGCTCTCTGCTATGGCCTAGGAAAGCAGTGGAAGATGGCTCCAGTCCTTGGACCTCTGAACCCACGTGGGAGATCAAGAAGCTCCTGGCTCCTGGCTTTAGATCGGCCCAGCTCGTCATTGTGGCCACTTGGGGAGTGAACAAGTGGACGGAAGACCCCTCTGTGTCTCTGCCTCTCTGTAACTCTGCCTTTCAAGTAAAATACATCTTACAAAAAAAATAAAAAAACCTTAAATAGAATTTTATTTAATTTTGTTTATTTAAAAGGCAGAGCAGCAGAGAGGTGGGTGGTGGGTGGGATGAGGGAGAGACAAAATGATCTTGTTTTCATTGGTTCACCCGCACAAATGTCAAGTCTGGGGCAGGCTAAAGCCAGGGGCTAGGACATCCTGGTGTCCCAAATAGGTGCTTAGGCCATATTCTGCATAGGCACGTTAGCAGGAAGCTGGATTGGAGGCAAAGCAGCCCGGACTCACATCAGCACTCTGATACAGGATTCCAGTGTTGACAGTAGCAGCTTAGCCCACTGCACTACAACATTAACCCCTCCATGAAGTTTTAAATGCATCATTCTACATTACAATAGAGTTTTAGGTAGAAATATAATTGAACTGTTAGTGCCCCCTAAAGACCACAGGGAACACACCCATAGCAAGGAAGTTGAGTCAGTTAGTCCTGGAAACAGTGGGAGGCTGCTTTGTAGGAAGGCTGGGCTTGTTCCGAGTTGGGTGTTGTCAGGGACAGTTCTGGGTAGCTCTGTAGCCGTTATCTAGAATGCAGGCGGGCTAGAGGGAAACTGAAGCTATGGTGGTACGGCCACAGCAGTTGGCCAGAGTAGGGGGCCAGTTGGTGATTTTTGTGGTTTGCAAAATGCTCATGTTCTGACTGTTCAGACATGATTACAGAGTGCTCTCGTTTTAGTCGTGAGTCCTCATGACCACAGAGTGGCCTTATCAATGTTATCTACTTCCCTGTAGGATAAAAGAACCTATGAGCTAACTGCAAATTGCCAAACCACCCCCCCGCCCAAAAAAACACCCACCCAAACTGGAAGGGTTGCAAAACCCGTAACTGTTCTAAACAGCAACTTAAAATTTAAGTTCTCAACTTTCAGATGTTACAATTTTTAAATAATTCTTCTCTGTTGCAGTAGGAACCATCGAAGGTTTTCAGTGTTCACCCTACCCTGAAGTCGATCAGTTTGTTCTTTCCTTGGTGACTAAAAATGACATTAAAGGAGGTACAACTCATCTTATTTTTTATTAACTGTTATATGATAGAGTCATGATATCGTTAGAAACATTCTTTATTTTAGGAATTAGGCGTTGGAGCTACTTTTTCCCAGAACAGTTGTTGGTTTATGATATTTTCAAATATCGCTGGTGTGAGAACATTGGAAGAGCCCACAAGAGTAATAACATCATGTAAGTAATCTTGTTTATTAATGCTGAGATGTATTCTGAATGTTTATAACTTTTTTTTAAAGATTGTTTTTAAATTTATTTGAGAGGCAGAGTTAGAGAGATGGAGAGTCAGAGGTCTTCCATCCACTGGTTCACTCCCCAAAAGGCTGCAATGGCAGGAACAGAGGTGATGAGGAGCCTGGAGCCAGAAGCTTCTTCTGAGTCTCGTACGTAGAAGCAGGGGTCCACTGCTTTCCCAGGCCATAAGCAGGGAGCTGGATCGGAAGAGAAGTAGCCAGGACACAACTGGTGCCCATTTGGGATGCTGATGCTGCAGGTGGAAGCTTAGCCTACTAAGCCACAGCACTGGCCCCATGTTTACAACTTTGAAATAAAGCTGACAATATAAAAATGTAACAAGTTAAACTAATTAGATTATTACATTTGTTGGGGTTTATAATATTCAGAGATCTTATTACATTGCTTCTAACATACAGCAGCTTTATTTGTCCTTTGATAAAATGACATAGTCTATAATCTTGAAGACTGAAGTAAATTAAGGACTAAAAAGCAAGCAGCAGGCAGGGAGTGGATGTGATGAAAAGGGTGTTCTAGATACCTGTGGAAGTGATTGAAACTGGGCCGATTACGGCAAGACGACAACTCCTCAGTGCTACAGAGCTGGAGGTTAAGGCTGTGTTAACTGAATATAGATAAATCACACATTACTGAGCTATTGGATGCTTGTTAGAAATGCCAGGCCCTGTTTTAGGTAATTTTTTAAAATGCTCCTGGCAAAACAAGAGGAAGTAAAAAGATGAAGTAAAACTAGAAATATAATTTAAAATAATAAAGGGATATAGACAGAAGGGGAATAAAACAGAAATCTAGTTACAACATGGGAAATGTTATTTCATATTTAATGTCAAAGCTGATACTCTTACATAGCACATGTGCTAGAAGGGGGAGATGATCCAAGTGTGTGTTGGAAAATGTGTGGCATGATTCAGTGCTATGGTTGATATTCTTAAATTAAAAACAATCTTGAAAAGCTCTATTCTTGGGCCACTGTTGTGGCCTCGCACAGTAAGCTGCAGCTTGCAGTGCTGCTGTTCCATGCCAGAGCACCAGTTCAAGTCCTGGCTGCTCTCCTGTCCGTCTAAAGCGCCTGGGAAAGCAGCAGATGGCCCAAGAGCTTGGGTCTGTCACCCGTGAGGGAGATCTGGGTGGAGTTCCAGGCTCCTGGCTTTGGCAGTTTGTAGCCACATTGGGAAAGAGCCAGTGTGGAGAGAAACCTCTGTTGCTTCCATGTGTGTTTCCCTCCCTCCCTCCCTCCCCTTAAAAATAAATAAATCTTAAAAGAGAATTATATGCTCAATACACCAAGCTGTCACCAAAAAAGATCCCCACAGTCCTATAACCCAGTGAAAACTACAGTTAGCACTGATGCATCTTTCTAGTCTTCTGTGCGTGGACATTTACAAAAAAAAATAAGATTATATCCAATTATTTTTAGCTGTGAAATATTACATGTAATAGTATATATATGTGTAAGTAATATGCGCCTCTTAAAGACCAATGCTCAAATTCCATTTTGTGTAATTTGATGGACACAGGGAGAGAGCTGTTCTATCTTTCGGGGAGATCTTCTGTCAGCGTGTGTGTTTTTCTCCTGAAGTCCATTTTGTGTGATATTTTAGGCAACTGGTTTTGTTTGTTGTGTATCTTCTTTCGTTTTTACTTTTTAGTTGAAGATTTAGTCATGTTTCTTTTAGACAGCATTGAGTTGGATTTAATTTTCTATACAGCTTAGGTATTAATACTTTTCTTTTTTTAAACAAAGGATTCTGGTTGATCTGAAAAATGAAGTTTGGTATCAAAAATGTCATGATCCTATATGTAAAGCAGAAAACTTCAAAACTGACTGTGAGTTATTAATTTTTACATTTACCATAAAGTAAAAGTTAATGTTTACATAAAAATAGTTTTACTATCTTTCTGATTCAGGTTTGCCATTACCTGCTGAAGTGTGTCTTTTGTTTCTTTTCAAAGAGGTAAGTGCAGTTTTGTATCATTGTCATTACTAAGTCTTGGTATTATAGTATAAATGAACCAGGAGCACTGTCCACTAAGCTTTTTTTTTTTTGACAGGCAGAGTTAGGGAGAGAGAGAGAAAGGTCTTTCTTCTGTTGGTTCACCCCCCCAAATGGCTGCCATGGCCAGAACGCTGTGCCGTGCCAAAGCCAGGTGCTTCCTCCCAGTCTCCCATGCGGGTGCAGGGGCTCAAGCACCTGGGCCATCCTCCACTGCCTTCCCAGGCCACAGCAGAGAGCTGGAAGAGGAGCAGCCAGGACTAGAACCCAGGGTGCCGGCGCCACAGGCGGAGGATTAGCCTAGTGAGCCGTGGCACCCGCCTCCACTAAGCTTTTTAAGCACAATGTTTGTAACACATTGTTTTCACTTGAAGATCCATCTTGATGATTTTCCTACCTCAGTATATATTTAATAACACATACTTCATTCTTTACTGCATAAGATTTAGTACACTTTAACCAGTCCTAGACATTAAAGAGGTTTCTGGTTGTATAAACCAAAATACCCTTCTTTCTTTCTGGCACAGTGCTTGCAGCAGACATATCAGAGTGCCCAGTTCTTGTCTGCCTCCTCTGCTTCCTGCAGCCCACATGGGAGACCTGGATTGCATTCCAGGTTCTTGGCCTAGCCCTGGCTGTTACGGTTATTTGGGGGGAGTGAACTAGTGGATGTGGGATCTTTGTGACTCTGCCTTTCAAATAAAAAAATTGCATATACCCTTTGCTGCCATTTTTTTCCCCCAAAGATTTATTTGAAAGTCAGAGTTACACAGAGAGAGGTCTTCCATCTGCTGGTTCACTCCCCAACTGGCTACAACAGCCAGAACTGCGCCAATAGGAAGCCAGGAGCTTCTTCTGGGTCTCCCACGAGGGTGCAGGGGCCCAAGCACTTGGGCCATCTTCCACTGCTTTCCCGGGCCACAGCAGAGAGCTGGATCTCAAACCGGTGTCCGTAGGGGATACTGGCACTGCAGGTAGCAGCTTCACCCACTATGCCAGCAGTTTTAATCGTGGTTTGACAATCTAGTAATACCACCAAAATTTCTTTCAAAGATCTTTATTTGCCCAAATAATTTAAAATCTTCCTCATAATATTACAACATTTTTATCTGGGCTCATATTTTTAAAACCAGTAAGTATACATAATACTCTGTGGGGCCTTTCCTTTTTAAGGTTTATTCTTCCATCCACTCCCCAAATGGCTGCAACAGCTGCTTCTGGGTCTCCCACGTGGTGCAGGGCCCAGCTGGGACTTGAACCAGTGCCCCTACAGGATGCTGGTGCCCCAGGCGGAGGCTCCACACCTAATTTAAGCATGTAGCTGAGGAATAAGGACATTGTTACTTGGCTATGGTACATGAAGTTAAGGAAATTTAACATCACTATTATCTCATGTAAGCCTTAGTGATTAGTCCTTGGCAGTTTGTCTTTAACAGGTACACAGGCCACTTGAACAGTTAAGTCTGTCCTTGCTGTAGCACCTGCTGGGGATGCTGAAACATCTGTGCCACAGAACTGCAGGCAGTTTCAAATGGGGAGTCTAAGGAGTATCTGAGCCAACTCCAGAAACAGTTAATATTCTCACTCCTATCGAACTGGTCTTAAGATCTTAATATGTGGTGATTTCATTATATATTCAGTCTATGTAGAATTACAACTAGATTTTTTTTTTAAAGGAAGAAGAATTTACAACAGATGAAACTAGGAACCATGAAACCACGAGCCCTCATAAACCATCCCCAGGTGCATCCTCTGACCCTGGCTGGGACAATGGCATGGATGATGCTTGCTTTTTAGAAGCCACTGAAGATGCTGAATTAGCAGAGGCTGCAGAGAGCAGTCTTCTGCGTCACAGTAGTGGAGTGGATGAGATTCCTGATGACCTCATTATGGAAGTATTACAAGAGTAGCCAACTGTGGACATTACATAAGCAGCTGTAATCTGCGAGATTTGTAACAAAAAATTATATTCAGTCTGTCAAATGTTACTTGGAAAATAATGTAAGTAAATCAATTTTATTGGAAATTAACTGTAGTATTTAGTCTATGTTCACATTGTCTTAATTTTACAGGTTAAAACATACATGTTTGGGGCTGATTCAGATAGGGTTTCAACATTTTTAAATTACTCAAGACATTATCCTAAAAGGATCATGGCCTCTAAAACTATTAATCAGTACTAAATCCTGGGGACTGGACCCTACTTGTTTTCAGAGGCCGCAGGGGAGTAAGTTGGCACATTTCAGTACGGCTGTCTCCTCAGTGCTGGTCAAGGAGATTCTCTAATTGGTGGTTGATATTTTGCAAATGATTTTCAGCTCCCAAAAAGGTTCTTGCTTTAAATAACAGAGCTGGAAGGCTGGATGAATCATACTGTTGAAAGAAAATAATTCAGATTAGCTAATATCAAAAACTCTTACAATCCTGTCTTTACATAGTTCAATCTGAAACCAATGGAAAAGATCTAACTTGTCAACTCCTCTTCCTTTCACTTTTACAATTGGTTTTAATTCATTTCCTTAGGATAGAATTCATAGAACGTTGCAAAGGAGTGGCTCTGTACATCTGAGTGCCTGGGGCAGGTCAAGACTTGGTTTGAGCAAGTCTGTCTGATCTCATGTCTATTTTAAAACACACAACAAAAAACATTAGGCAGGTTTACTTTTACTGGAAGAACCAAAGGATGAGAACACCCAGCTTATAATAGCTCATAAGGGGAAAAAAAACTCTAAATCCACTCTAAGAAAACTTTAATCATGGAACTGATCCTTCCAATAAGACAAAATTACTATGCAAGTCGAACAAAATCAACTCATGAGTTTAAACTAGTAAGCCAACCCAAAATTGATTAAATTCCTCTTTAGTTTTCTGACTACTACCTAGAAAACAGTGGATTTTTTTCCTGGCATACAATTTACCATATGTTGAGAGAATTCAAGAGCCTAATTAAGACACTAAGCACCTGCTCTCAGGGAGTGGAGGGAGGAGAACTTGCTTGGTGCTACAGGTTTAGTTTAGGAAAAGAGGTGAGGCCGAGAACACAGCTGGGAGTGATATGGTCTAAAGGTACAGTCGCTGAATTTGTTTTAATGAAAGTGGTTGCTATTTTTCTAAATTTAATAACCAAGTCCACTTAAGCTTTAGACTAGTTAGGTACTTTGGGCTCAGGAAAACTGCATCAGTGTCAAAATTTAAAGCTGAATTTAGAAAACAAATCTGGTAACATTTTATGTAAAATTATACTAGGTGGACAACTTAAAGTGTATATTAAAAAGTCCAGAAATGGGGGCCACTGCTGTGGCCTAACAGCATCCCATATGAGCACCAGTTCATGTCCCGGCTGCTCCCTGCTGATGGCCTGGGAAAAGCAGTGGGAGACCCACGTGAAGGTCCTGGCCCAGCACTGGCTGTTGCAGCCGTCTGGGGGCGTGAACCACTAGAGGGAAGATGTCTCTCCTCTACCTGTGACTTTCAAATAAAAAATTTTGTAGTTACTTTTTTTATTAATCCAATAATATTGCTTTTTCTTGCCATTTATAGATAATGGCTTTTTAGATACATGTACCAAGAACATGAGCTAGACATAAAAAATGTGGTTGTGCAAAGCCTACTCTTCCCTTATTGAACTCAGTGAGCCCGGGTTTTCCTGTACTGCTGCAGCTCCCCTCCTGAGGCAGAGTCGAAAGTAAAAAAAACTCCAAGTTACCGTTTCCTTTGTGTCTGGTTCTTTCTCTTGAACATCTGAGTACTCGTGATAGAGCTGTTTTAAATTAGATAGGAAATCTGCTGCCGTCCTCAGGGATGACTTTCTCTCCTTAAGTTCGTCGTATTTTGTTTGTAGCTGTATCAGCTGGGGCTCTAACCTAGCGCGAAAAGAAGTACACCGGGTGAAGGATGGAACACCAGGGTGGTGGCTGCTCCGTCTACCTTCAGCTCTGACAGCAGGAATGCATGAAAGGCTCCGGGTTTCAATTTGAAATGTAGGAGAAAGGCAGCTTTCAGCCTCGCAGATGAGCCGCTGGGGCCAGCTGCGTCAGCTCTCAGAGAGAACTTGGATCTTATAGACAAAGGGAATAGAAAAGGAGTTTTATTTTGTTACATAAAAAAATGCTAACTAAACTCTTGTCTACTATGATGTCACAACATAAGTCCTGTAAGCTGTCCTTTACAGTGGACAAGTGCAGCGTTTTGTTAGACTCACTACTGAGCTGGCAGAATTGGGGTCTGACAGCGAATCCTAGCTCCCCCACTTCTGTGGGGTTTGACTGTTGGTATGTTACCTCTCCGTGCCTAGTTTTCCCAACGTAAAGTTAAAACAATAATCTACCTCTCCAGTAGAAAAGGAACTAAAGAAGTGTGTTTTTAAAATATGTAATGAAGCCTTATCACCAGAGATAATAACCTCCCTCAGTGATGACAGGGATGATCAAAGGGTGAAATCAGGAAAGCGCCCCGCACCCAGGGGACTGCTAGATGTAGGCTGTCGTATTACCTTGGCTGTTCTTAGCTGTAGCCTGGGCCAGCACCTGTCTGTAGTCTAAATTTGGAAACCAAAGGACTAGACAACCAATTCTCCCTCTTCAACTCCTGCGACAGTACTTTGTGCTTCACTGTCTTGTCTACCGGCCTTTCTCAGCTGTCGTACACCTTCAGAGCAGACAGCCTCCCTGGTACTGCTTTACTATCACACTCCCAGCTCACGCAACAGGTACAGAAGAGCAGGAAGAAACACTTGCAGGCTGCTCTGGGCTCCAGTCTTTGCAACCAGACCCCGGCTGGCCAGTTCTGGGAATGTGGATTCACATGAGTGCCACCCACGGTGTTTGTGTTTCACCAACACAAACTGCCAACATTTATACAGCACTTAACCATGTGCCATCCCCATGAAGCACTTCTCACAACACCCAATGGTCTGTTAGATAGCATTACGCCTTTATACTAAAGAGGGAACGGAGTTATTAACAGGTTAAGTGACTTGGCTAAAGTTGCACGGGCAGTGAGGGGCCGAGCCTGGATTCAAAGCCAGGCAGTCTAACTGCATTAATTTATGCATGAATTTAATTGGGGTGCCACTCAGGCCACAGCTGAGAGAAGTCGGGACATCAGCGGCAAATCCTCCCTTGCTAATGGGGGCTACAGCGACGTAGCATAACCTGCCCTCACTGAGCATCCAAATTCAAAGATAACCTGGAGTTTTCGTATGGCACAGCAGCAAGTATTAACTTGGGTTCCTTGAGGTATGTTCTGTCACAGGACTGTTGCTATCTTACCGAAGCAGTTCATCCTGGACTTCAACCAAACGCTGCCTTTTCTTCTTGATATCTGCAATCACCTAAGTAAGAGTAATTTCTTTGTTAATTTTGTGATGTGTACTGCCAGGAAAAGAGGGAACCTTGGAATAGTGTGGGTGGGGGATCTACTTCAGGATGATCTGGAGAAGGTGAGGGGCCAGATCCTCAGTAGATCCCATGAGCTAGACAGATGTGATCTTGCAGGACAGTGTTGTGATCTGTTTTGTATTTTTTTTTTTTTTTTGACAGGCAGAGTGGACAGTGAGAGAGAGAGACAGAGAGAAAGGTCTTCCTTTGCTGTTGGTTCACCCTCCAATGGCCGCTGCAGCCGGCACACCGCACTGATCCGATGGTAGGAGCCAGGTGCTTCTCCTGGTCTCCCATGGGGTGCAGGGCCCAAGGGCTTGGGCCATCCTCCACTGCACTCCCTGGCCACAGCAGAGAGCTGGCCTGGAAGAGGGGCAACCGGGACAGAATCCAGCATGCCGGCGCCGCAAGGCGGAGGACTAGCCTAATGAGCCGTGGCGCCAGCCTCTGTTTTGTATTTTTAAAACTATTTCAATAAGTTTTCTTATCTCAGAGGTCTCATTAGTCACTACCTAATACTCTGCTGTTGGACATCCATAAACAATGTAGAAATGACCAAAATGAGATTACAGTTGAAAGAAAAAAAGATGTGTAATTGCCAGAAGACAAATGTATATTTCTCAAGGTCATTTCTGTTACCAATGCAGAGGAACAGTGACTTTGCACTCCTGGATTCGTGGAAGTTTGGTGGTGCAACCTCTGAGGTCATTCGGTCCATTCATTCACAAACAAGCAAAGGGGAATCCCGTGTTCACTGGCTTGTTTCCCACTGCTGCCTACTGAGGGGGCAGAGCCAGGACTACAGGTGAGGTCTTAGGACTCCTAACCTGGTGTTCTTCCCGGCTGCCCTTTTGCCTTAGACAGTGCTCTAAAAGGTTTTGCTTTTTGACACCCACAAAAGCAATAAATGTACATTACTCAACATGTACCCATATAAGGGACCATTTTGGACGTTGATAGCCATTTTTAGACCAACTGAGACATCTTTCAAAAAGATTTAATAGCACTTCCTTGAACATCAACCAAATAAGAGTCTAAAAAGATAAAAATTCTTACACAAAATTCTAAAGGCAGCAAACCCCAAAGTCAGGTCCTAACCACCTGTGTTAGTATCGTGTAGTCACATCACCCTAATTGCTGACGTCACTTACCTTAGCGTTCTTCCTTTTCAGGTTTTTCAACATCTGGGCTTCTTTAAGCTGTATGAAACGAAAGATAATTCCTGTGCATTTCCCAAGATTAATCATTTTGACATAGGTTACATTTAATTTAAAAATAGCATGTAAAATATGAGTAGTGCTAATGACTTTATTACCATATTGCCAGAAAATGCAAGCTTTTCTATGCTAACAGCATACTGCCTCAGGATAAGCTGAAAAACCTTAGGCCAAGAAATTTGTCAGTGAGCTTACCATTTTGATGAGTTCTTCTTTAATATTACAATGAAATTTATTGATGGCTTCTTTACAAATTTTAGATTCTATTCTTTCTCTGTAGAGGAGTTAAAAAAAGGGATCAAATTAGGTATCATGAAGGATTTTGAAATGTGTTTCTCCGGCTTAGCATATGTAATATACATGCACAACTTGGCATGTACCATTTAAAAAAATTTAAGATGTAATATTCAGCCTGTGGTACTTTCTCAGACAATCTAGGAAACATGTCTCAGCAAAGAAAATGACCAGAAGTGCCCTTCACCAACGGATGGGCAAGCCAGAGAGTGGTCGTGCCCACGCTCACACTGTTAAGCAACCCTGCGGTGAGAACCACATCTGATGGCTCACCCCAGTGACCCAGGGACCCTCTTCAAATCACCTTAGCTGGACTACCTCCTTCCTCTTAGAACCATTAACTTAACGACTTTGGGGTTTAACATGCTGCATGAGTTTAGAGGCAAATCATACTCAAACCAGAACACGTGAGCTCCTATATTCAATTTATTTAATTTCTTCTCCAATTTTTACTATTAGTCTCCTGCTTACTTTGGGTTTCCTTTGCTTCTGTACCTGGATTGCTAAGATGAGTTAGATGACTGATGCACTGCTTTCCTGGCATCCCATATTTTTCACTTTAGTTCAAACACATTTAGTTTTCTGTTAAGATTTCTTCTTTGACATACATGTTCTTTATAAGTATGTTGTGGCCGGCGCCGCAGCTCACTAGGCTAATCCTCAGCCTGCGGCGCCGGCACACCGGGTTCTAGTCCCGGTTCAGGGCGCTGGATTCTGTCCTGGTTGCCCCTCTTCCAGGCCAGCTCTCTGCTGTGGCCCGGGAGTGCAGTGGAGGATGGCCCAAGTGCTTGGGCCCTGCACCCCATGGGAGACCAGGAGAAGCACCTGGCTCCTGCCATCGGATCAGCACGCTGCGCCGGCCGCAGTGGCCATTGGAGGGTGAACCAACGGCAAAGGAAGACCTTTCTGTCTACTCTGTCAAAAAAAAAAAAAAAAGTATGTTGTTTAATTGCCAAGTATTTAAAAATTTTTTTCCAGCTATCTGTCTGCAACCAGACACTGTAAGATTTCTATTATTTTACATTTCTTAGGGTTGTGTTTTTTATGGCCTAGATTGTGATCTGTCTTGACAAATATTCCTTGTGATCTTGAGAAGAATGTGTATTCTGTGTTGCTGAAGTAGCCTGCAGTCTATAGCTATCCATAATAGGTTGAACACCCCTCATCTAAAAACCCAGCATCCAAAACGCTCTGAAATCCAAAATGCTGAGTGCCAACATTACACTCAGTTTTGGATTCTTGGATTAAAGACACTCAACCAATTAAGTGTGCAGGTATTCCAAAATCTGAAAAGCTCAGAAATCAAACATTTTCAGTCCCAAACACTTCAGATAAAGGACACTCAGCTTGTACAGTGTTTCTTATCTCTGGCATTTGTTTTACTGTTTGAATTTAGAACTCTTGGGAGCAGGGGTTTGATGCAGTGGTGAAGCTATTGCTTGGGCGGCCCATAGCCCACATCAGCGTGCCTGGTTTGAGTTCCAGCTCTGCTTCGATTCTAGCTCCCTGCTGACTTGCACCCCTGGAGGCGGCAGGTGGTGGCTCAGTGTTGGGTCCCTGCCAGCCATGTGGGGGACCCGGACTGACTTCCTGGCTCCTGGATTTGGCCTGGCCCAGCCTCGGCTATTGTAGGCATTTGGGGAGTGAACCACAGTAGATGGAAGAAATCAGTATCTCTCTTCCACCCCTTCCCTCTCCCTTTCAAATAAAATGAAAAAAAAAATTAAACAATAATTTGTATCTCTCTGCTGTATCACTCATTTTCTCCAAAGGTACAAATGGTCATGAAGCACCTGAAAAGACACGCAACACTAACACGAGGGGAATGCAGACAGGTCTACATGGCACTCTACTCACTGGGATGACTACTGTAAACACCACCAGAACACAGGTGTTGGCAGGAATGCGGAGAAAGAGACACAAATAACTGGAAGGACATTCCATGCTTATTGACTAGAAAACTTAATACACAGATTCGCTGCACCTCCTATCAAAACTCCAGTGACATTTTTTGCAGCACTAGAAAAAATCCTAAAATTCATGTGACTATCAAAAGACTCCAGAAAGCCAAAACAATCTTAAGAAAGCTGCAGGCCTCATACTTTCTGATTTAGAAACATATTACAAAGCTACAGTAGTCAAAACAGGATGGCACTGGAATACAGACAGAAACACAGACCAATAAGACTGCATAGCAAATCCAGAAACAAACTTTCACGTACACTGGGGGCTTCTGATCATCAGTGTGGTGCCAGCACTACATAATGGGGAAGGCAGGCTCTTCAGCAAGGGGTGTTAGAAAATCTGCAGGTCCACCTGTAAAATAAGTGAAGCTGGCCCTTACCTTACACTATGCATACTTCAAAATGCACTCAGAATGCATTAAAGACTAAAACAGTAACATCCTAAGTGGAAAAAATAGGGATTGCATGTCACATCAACACACAGATAACAAAAGCAAGAACAGACAAATGGAGCTGCATCCGTTTAAAGCTTCTATTTGCCTTAAAAAGGAAATTCTGACAACATGGCCACCACGTGGATTAACCCTGAGGACAGACGCGTGAAATAAGCTAATTACAAAGGGACGCATATGAGGGGTCTTCAGAAGGTTTGTGGAAAATGGATTTTAGGGCAAAACTATGCATGGGTTTCAAAATTTTGTGCACCAAAATAACTATCTTTTAATTCCATTTTGTTTTTAAGTACCCTCAAATGTATGATCCCACTTATGAGTTACACAGAGTAGTCAAGTCTGCAGAACAAAGTAGAAGAGTGCTTGCTAGGGGCTGGTGAGAAGGGGATAGTTTAATGGACACAGGTTTGGGCTTGACCAGATGAACAGTGTCTAGAGCGGGGTCCACAACAGTGACAATCTACTTCACACTGCCGACCTGTGCACTTACAAATGCTTAAGATGGCAAGTTTTATGACGTCATGTTATCACAGGTACAAATTATACGTCCTATCTTGTGAAGAAGAATTTCTAATTTAATATAGATACCAAATTTTCAGATGTGAAAAAAATTTTTTTGGCCAGCACTATGACTCAATAGGCTAATCCTCCACCTGTGGCGCTGGCACACTGGGTTCTAGTCCCGGTCGGGGCACTGGATTCTGTCCCGGTTGCCCCTCTTCCAGGCCAGCTCTGTGCTGTGGCCAGGGATTGCAGTGGAGGATGGCCCAAGTCCTTGGGCCCTGCACCCCATGGGAGACCAGGAGAAGCACCTGGCTCCTACCATCGGATCAGCGCGGTGCGCCGGCCACAGCAGCCATTGGGGGATGAACCAACAGAAAAGGAAGACCTTTCTCTCTCTCTCTCTCTCTCACTGTCCACTCTGCCTGTCAAAAAAAAAATTTTTTTTTTAATAAGAAAAACGGGCCAGGCCTCTCTGCTGCGGTTCATTCTAATGATGATAAACTGATGGATTCTATCAGCCACAAGGTGACAGTCTACACAGGATGCTCAGACACAGCTCTTTCAAGTTTAGTGCCTTAAAAAACCTGGCCACTTCATGCAGACCTAGTTATGGAGTATCCTAAGAATGTGTGATGTCTGCATTTCATGACATACTTCCTTGCTTATACACACTGACATACTGCTTACAACGAGCGAGTCTGTTGACAAGCAAAAAAAAATTGTTCAGGCTTGTCACGTGTATTACAAATAGCAGACCCCCAAACAGGTGTTTATTTGGAAAGTGGGAAGTGTTCCACGTGGCTGAGAACCTAGAGGTTGCAAAAACACAAGATCAGTGATTTCACAGGAATTGTTTGATGCAACAAAAAACAATGTTGTTTTGTAATTTTAAAAGTCTGTGAAAAATGCAAGTGAAGTATTCTTTATCCAAACTGCCGGGGACCAGAAGCATTTTGTATTGCAATTGTTTTGGATTTTGGAGTATGTGCATATACATAATGACACTTCTTGGGGCTGGGACTCAAGTCTAAACATGAAAATTCATTTATATTTCATATACACCTGAAACACATGGCTTAAAGATAATTTTATGCGACATTTTAAGTATGTGTTCTGACTGCAGTCTGTCACATGAGGTCAGGTGTGGAATGTTCCACTGTGGCTTCATGTTGGTGCTCAGTTTCAGATTTTCAAGCATTTTAGGTCCTGGATTTTCCAATCTGTCCCTTTCCTAAGTCACTTCCCAAGAACTTAATATGCTAAGGGTAGGCATTTATTTATTATTTTCAAGACTGTTTTTATTTATTTGAGAGGTAGAGTTACAGGCAGTGAGAAGGAGAAAGAAACAGGTCTTCCTTCCCGTTGGTTCACTCCCCAATGGCCACAATGGCTGGAACTGCACTGATCTGAAGCCAGAAACCAGGAGCTTCTTCTGGGTCTCCCATGTGGGTGCAGGGACCCAAGGACCTGGGCCATCCTCCACTGCTTTCCCAGGCCACAGCAGAGAGCTGGACTGGAAGAGGGGCAACCAGGACTCGAACCAGTGCCCAAATGGGATGCCGGTGCTGCAGGCGGAAAATTAACCTACTGTGCCATGGTGCTGGCCCCAAGGGTAGGCATTTCTTTAGCCCAATGATTGAGACACCCACATCCCATATCAGAGCTCCTAGGTTGGATAACTGGCCCTCATTCCCGATTCCAGCTTCCTGCTAATTCAGACCCTGGGAAGCAGTGCTGGTGGCTCAGGTAACTTGGCTCCTGCCATCAGGTGGGAGACCTGGATTGAGTTCCTTCCTCCTGGCTTCGGCCCGGCCCAGGCCCAGCCCCAGCCATTGTAGGCATTTGCGGAGTGAACCAGCAGATGGATGCTCCCTCTATCCCTCAAACAAATAAATAAAAATTTAAAATATACTAAAAGGTAAATTAACAAGGCCAGTTTCCCTAAAATATCCCAAGTCTATAGTAAGTCTTTAGGTGATTTATGAATGAGAAAAGGATAACAAAAGCCAGTGTTGGTGCGTTAAGAGAACCAGTTTTAACAGCAAACTGGCTCTGGATTATAGAGCAGAGAAGAAAAAACCAGGCTCTCCTCACAGTGACACTGCTGAGTTCTAGTGTGACAGACCCGCCCCACGCCACATCAATGCGGGTGAACCCCAGAGGGGAACCGCCACAGAACCAGACAAGGCTGTGAACCCCAAGGGGAGGGATTCTGAAAGGGGAAAGGTGAGAGCTGAGGCTGTGGCTGGCTATTGAGGGCCGGCTCCTGTGTCTTCCCCACCGTCCCCGCACACACGGCCTCCCAGACACCTGTCACTGGCAGGGATTCGACCCTGTCTCCTGGTCCTCAGGACTAAAGGCAGCCCCGGGCCTGTGAGGCCTGGGGAATAGTGGGGAGACTGACCTTGGGCAGCTGTTTCCTCACCTTTCCCAGGGAGTGACCTACCCTCCTGGCACTGCTCTCTGCGGGGCCTGGGGTGACGGCCAAGCGACTGGGCTTCCCGCTCCCCGGCCCTGCCGCCTCCATCCCTGGCACTCCTGTCTCCTGACAAGCTCCCAGGCCAGAGAAGCAACGCCAGAGCAGCACAACTGCTCCCAGAGGAAAACCCCTAGGAGAGCTGATTCCATCAAATGGATTTTAGACAGTATTCCCAGGATGCTAACCAGGAACGACGCGAACTGAAGGCACAAAAAAGAACCAAGCAGAAATAGATATAAAAACCAAAACAGTGCAACAAACAACAAATGGGATAAATGGCTGCATGCATGCGTGCATCTAAGAAATACATTAGCAGACCTTCCCACTTCTAAGTCAGGAAAAACAAAGGATAGTCAGAAGCTGTCAGCCCACCGAGGCCCCCCCCGATGAAACGGCACAGAGCGTTCACCTGGAGCCTCGTGGGCTGCTTGCTGCGGGGAAAGCCCCCGCACCTGCTGAGACAATATGCTGAGCCACGTGCCTTTCTGCACGCCCCCCAGACACCCTACCAGGGTCCGTGTGGTGCCTGCACCTCTCCAACAAGCCACTTGGAAAGGGACTGCCTGTTGCCCAAACGATGAAGCCTGGCTTCAGGCCCCCACCCTCCGGCCTGGGAAGGATTCACAGTTCTAGATGCCACCAAGAACTTTCGCGATCCCTGCAAGGAGGTCAGAACTATCAACAACAACAGGACCTGAAAGACATGGCTTCCCTCCTTCCGGACTTCCGGACGAGTGACGGGGGTCAGGACTGGTGGAGAAAGTAACCGCGGATGTGAGGGAAGCAGCAAGAGCAGAGACTTGCAAGCGGAGCCTGAAGACGCGACCCAACGGCTGCGCTCTCATGGCCAAACCTGGCAGACAGGAGCTGCCGCTCGGGCTGAACAGAGAAAGGGGCTTCTCCCGATGGCCCCCGCACCTGCTCAAGAGGCTGTGACGCGGCTGACGTGACAACAGGAGACTGAGACCGTGCATGGACATCGCTGGGAAAGCAGAGAGAATGTCAGGACCGATCAAAGTGCTGCCCACCAGCATCTCATGCCCCAGAGAGCGCTTTCAGGGAAAGAAGAGTCGACCAGTGCAGCAAACTCCGTTTTTGCCTTATTTGAAGAAATTGTCAAAGCCACTCAGCATCTACCACCCTGATCATTCAGCAGCTGTCAACCTCGGGGCCAGATCCCTCCACCAGCAAAAACAGCATGACTCACTGAGAGAGATCATTACCAGTTTTCAGCAATACAATGTTTTTAATTAAGTTATATATATATATATTTTAGACACAAAGCTATTATATGCCTAAAAGCCTACAGTATAGTATAAATGTAACTTCCAAATGTGCTGGGAAACCAAAAATTCGTGACTCTATTGTGGCATTTGCTTTACTGCAGTGGTCTGGAAGCAAACCTGCGATCTGTCTTAGGTACGCCTGTGATACGAATGTCACGTCTGGCAAATGCTAGCAAAAGAAAGCTAGTGATGCATATCAGTATTAGCTAAAATAGATATTAAGACAAAACAGCATTTCTAGCAATGGAGGTCACCATTACTTGATGATAAATGTCTCATTTATAAGGCAGAGCAATTTAAAGCATGATGTTCCTAATAAAATGGTCTCTAAATATATACAGCACAAATACCAGGAAAAACTGAGTAATTACTGGTTCCATCCAGATGCAATAATTAAACTCCCCAGATCTAGTATTTAGAGATTCCGCACGGATTACGTGCTAGGCCATAAAGAAAGCCTCAACATTTCAAGTCAGTATCACCAGACCATCAGGATCTTTGACGACGACAGTTAAGGTAGAGTTCATACAAAAATATAAATTAAAAAGCCACATATTTCGACATATAAAAACATATTGCTAGTGACTCACAGGATTAAGGAAAATCATAACAAAAATATCTAAGATGTAAGAATAATGAGAAGACATACAAAAGCCCACTAAGCAACAGTCGTACCTGAAGGGGAATCAGTCGTGTATGCACTAGAACATCAAGACTTACTTATGCTCCCGGATTGCTTTCTCACATGCAGACAAAACAATATCCAACTCCATGAGGTCACTCTTCTTTTTTCCTTCTAGACACCAAATATGCACGCTGTCAGAAATACCTAGAATATCAAGACAAGTCAACTTCAACATGCTGATTGTTCGTATTTGGCTCTAGAGACAGAGTTCTGAAAGCTTGAAACAAAAACAGTGCCTCCCATCGGGTAAAGGCAGCTCTGGCTGAAGAATCCTATGGGAGGCGCCATCCTCACTGCTTCCTGCCCACTGCTTCCCTCACAAACCCCGTCTGTATGCTCACTCTCTTCCTGCCGTCTCTTTGGTTCTCCCATTTCTGCTGAAGCAACCAAAAGCTCTGCTGCCCTTTATCTTGTGTGTAGCTGTCCAACACCACTCCCGATAAAGTCCTTGTCGGCAAGGACAGTATTTTGTGAACTTTAATCCCTCCGTTAACTGGCCACTTGCAGAATACATGATTACTCGGTGCATTGTTTTAAAATGTTACTGTAATATTCTGTAGTAGGATTCTGAAGACCTACAGTTCTACTTTGAGCTTTTATTTATTTTACTTTTATTTAATGAATATAAATTTCCAAAGTACAGCTTATGGATTACAATGGCTCCCCCCCATAACTTCCCTCCCACCTGCAACCCTCCCCTTTCCCGCTCCATCTCCCCTTCAGTTTACATCAAGATTCATTTTCAATTCTCTTTATATATAGAGTATCAGTTTAGCATATATTAAGTAAAGATTTCGACAGTTTGCACCCACATAGAAACACAAAGTGAAAAATACTGTTTGAGTACTGGGGCCCTGAGTTGTCATGTCCACACCTCCATGTAGGACAACTGTGTCCCTCTAATTTGCGTGGAGTTTCCTCTGCTGTTTTCTCCCTAACTCTTCCCTGAGATTGTAGTCTCTCACCTTTTTTTATTTTAAACTATCTTTCCCTAGACTAGACCAGGAAGCTCCCTCCCAATTCTGCCATCTTGAAACCTCCAAAAGGTACTATATATTTTTTTAAACAAAACACAGTATCTCAAGATCTTATTAGTCCAAATAAAATCTTCCTTAAGCTCTAAGGAACAGATTAACAAAAATTATGAAGAACCATTATATCCAATCTGTCTTTACTTATTTAACATTTTTATCTTGGCACCAGAATTATGAGTTATATTCTATACACAAGAACACTTGCCTGTGAAATATGGAGGTGCACAACCTTGAGATCACTGAGCAGCTAGAGAAAGAGAACATTAACATGGGAAGCAGCCAGTGGGCCCCCACCTGCACGCATCTCCCTGCCAACCTGCAGGTTACCACTATTCAGAAGTCTGTTTATCACTGTATCAGTCCTGATTTTATGCTACAGGCACATACATATTCCTAAACAAGAGTTCAGTTTACATTTTTGACTTTTTTATATTTATGCCAGCAAAAGTTTTAATTTTCTATTTCATTGCAAAAGTATATCACAATTTACCTATCAATTCTACCATGACTGACTGCTTTCAGGATTTTTTTTTTTTTTTAAACAGGCAGAGTGGACAGTGAGAAAGAGAGACAGAGAGAAAGCTCTTCCTTTGCCGTTGGTTTGCGCTGCGGCCGGAAACCGTGCCTATCTGAAGGCAGGAGCCAGGTGCCTCTCCTGGTCTCCCATGGGGTGCAGGGCCCAAGGACTTGGGCCATCCTCCACTGCCTTCCCGGGCAACAGCAGATAGCTGGCCTGGAAGAGGGGCAACCGGGACAGAATCCGGTGCCCCGACTGGGACTAGAACCCGGTGTGCCAGCGCCGCTAGGTGGAGGATTAGCCTACTGAGCCGTGGCGCCAGCACTGCTATCAGGATTTTAATAGCACAAAAAATAATGCTACGAACACTCATAAATACGTTTCACAAGGAATTTCTTTAGGAAATGTATCACAGGCACCAGCCAGGTCTCTGACTTTGTGTATTTTCAACATTACCGAAGTTGCCAAAATGGTTTTCAAAATTGTTACCATAGCTTTCTACCTGCAGTGGGTAAGGATTCCCACTGCCCATAACCTCATTCCCTGAAGAATTAACTATCTGCCAATGCAGCCTTGGGGCAGAGGACTTTGTCTTTTAATTAAACTTGTTGCTAAAAGGATTAAAGTTGTGGCAGAGCCTTCCCAAGGTCAGAAAAAGGAAAAGGGAGGCATCTGTCCTGGGAATGAAGTGTGGCTGCTACCTGCCTGCCTGTGAATGCTTCCGCTGCAGTCCCGACCTGCTTCTATGGACCACTTCAGGTCCTGCTTGCTAGTACACAGCAATGCTGTTAACCCTTGCAGACAGCTACAGCTCAGTATGTGCGTGGGAGGAAAAATGTATACACGCCCAGTACTGCATCAATTCCTGTGGCTGCCATGTAACATCACAATATCCAATCCAATGTAGGCATGGAACCAAGTAAGGGAGACAAAGAGGCTAAAGCCATATCTAAGGAAACAGCCCTCTTTGTTCTGGGCTTAGGCTTTTAGATAAGAAATCCCACCTGGGCCTTATGCTGGCATAAATAATAAAAAGACTACTTCCTACTAAAGGCCTTGGTGTCTTGTCTCTGTGCACGAATCCTGCTACTGTAGGTGCAGAAGGGTCTCATCATAACTGAAGCTGACATTTCTGTCACTCATAATGGACTGTCTTTAAACCTTTCACTGTTTCTTCTCCGGTAAAAATCCATAATGCCACCTGCCCATTCCTTCTACCGGGCTGGCAGAGTGTGCATCACCCCCATGTGCTACTGCTGTTTGAGTCTCACCCTGTGCCTTTCTTCATGGTCTCTGGATGAGCACAAGTCCTTGATTTTATCAGCTAAACTTACTCATTTCCTTCACAGCTAACCTTTTTGTGTCTTCTGTAAGAATTCAGAGTCATACACTCCTGTACTTTCTCTAAAAGTTGTCAGATCATACCTCCCACAAATGAAGTCTTCTCTCCACTTGAAACGACTGTCGAGTGGATGGGAGACAGAGGGCATCAGCTGGGCTTCCCGCACCGGGACATGGCCACAGCCCTTCCCCATCTCATCCTGCATTCAGCCCGTTTGCAGAGACGCACGGGGCACCTTCCCTTCTCTCCTTCCACGTCACTGTCGCAGGCTTAGAGTGGAGGGTTCCTTAAGTGGCTGTTAGGCTCACCCGGAAAATCGCCTGGAACTAGGCCTTAACTGCTTCTTGCTTTGTCTCCACAGGAATGTTTTTCTCTAGTGACTGTATTTCCCTGGTGGTTGTAGGATTATCCTGGTTGTGATCTTGAAGAGCTAGTTTTATCAGCCTTCTTTTCTACAGGTTTATATGCCACAGTCATGGATAGAGTGGAGATGTGTCTCCTTTGCATCTATTTTAAATTTATTTCCCATGAAGTTGCTCATTCTATTCTTAGTAAATTCTACACTGCAGGCTGGCGCCTCAGTTCACTAGGCTAATCCTCCACCTGCGGCACTGGTACTCTGGGTTCTAGTTCCAGTCAGGGCACCAGATTCTGTCCCGGTTGCCCCTCTTCCAGTCCAGCTCTCTGCTGTGGCCCGGGAGGGCAGAGGAGGATGGCCCAGATCCTTGGGCCCTGCACCCGCATGGGAGACCAGGAGGAAGCACCTGGCTCCTGGCTTCAGATTGGCACAGTGTGCCGGTCATAGGGGCCATTTGGGGGTGAACCAATGGAAGGAAGACCTTTCTCTAACTCTGCCTGTCCAAAAAAAAAAAATCTACACTGTAGCTTCTAGTGGGTGTGTAAAATCATACAATCACTTTGGGCATACGGTTTTTAAAATTTGGTCACCCTAGGACTCAGCAGCTCTACTCTTTATATTTTCCCAAGAGAAACCAAAACACGTGTTAACAAGGAAATGTGTGAGAGAAGGTTCACGGCAGCTTTATTCATGAGGGCCAAAACCTGGAATCCAGTCAGCATCCATCAGGGAGTGCCGGCGGGGCTGTGGTGCAGCGGTGCAGCGCAATGCCACACACGACAGACATCACACACAACACCAAGGCGGACCCACAGCAGAGCACATGCTGTGGGAGTCCATCCATGCGAAATCCCACACCAGGCAAAGCTAATCTATGGTAGAAAACAAGAGCACCAAAGTCCCTGTCTCTGGGAATGTGAAGAGGGGACAGGCATCAAAGGGAATAGGGAAATTTCGGGAGGAATGGGAAGCATCGTTATGTTAATAGTGGTTTGAGTTACACAAGTGTTTGCATTTCCCAAAATTCAGCTATTATATACCCAAGATCTAGGCATTTCACTGTATGCAGATTTTACATTAACAGAAAAGAACTAGGAGGGCAGTGTTGTGGTACAGCAGGTTAAGTCTGCTGCATATAAGCACCAGGTAGAGTCCCTGATGTTCCAACTTCCTACCCAGCTCCCTGCTAATGTACCTGGGAAAGCCATGGAGGGTGGCCAAGTGCTTGGGTCCCTGCCACCCATGTGGGACACCAGGATGAATCTCGTAGCTCCTGGCTTCAGCCTGTCCCAGCACTGGCCATTGTAGCCATTTGGACACTGAACTAACAGATAGAGGATGTCTTTTTCTCTCTCAATCTATAACTCTGCCTCTCAAAGTCTTTTAAGATTTAGTTATTTATTTCAGAGGCAGAGTTACAGAGAGGGAGAAACAGAGAGATACAGAGAGAGAGAATCTTTTATCAGCTGGTTCACTCCCTGAATGGCTGCAATGGCTGAAGCTTGGCTGATCCAAAGCCAGGAGATTCATCCTGGTGTCTACATGGGTGGCAGGGGCCCAAGCGCTTGGACCATCTTCTACTGCTTTCCCAGGCCATAGCAGAGAGCTGGACTAGAAGAGCAGCAGCCAGGACACGAAGCAGTGCCCATATGGGATGCCGGTGCCATAGGTGGAGGCTTAACTTACTAAAAAGTGCTAGCCCCAAATAAATCTTTAAAAAAAGAAAAAAAATGGTAAACAAGCATAGAACTCTGGTTAATGATGTATACGTTGAAATAATTCAAAAGAAATGTACTAATGTCAAATTTATTTTGAAATGCATTAATGGACAAATTAACAACTCAAGTGTTAACTGTGAGATCCAGATAGTAGGTGAATATACACTGTAAAATTCAGTTTGTTGTATGTTGAAAATTTTCACGACAAAGCATTAAAAATAGTTACCTCAAAGTCACACATGCTTCATTTTTCAAAGTAGCAGTAACAATTTACTGTTTTAACCAATCAGCACTTTTTTCCATTACATCTTTGACTAAGTGACAAAGTATCATGCATATTCTGGGGCAGACATTTGGCAGTTGGTTTATTTGCTGAGAGACCCACACCCCATACTCAAGGGCCTGCGTTCCAGTCCCAAGTCGCAGTTCCGCCTTCCCACTGATGTGCACCCTGGGAGGCAGCAGGTCATGGCTCCGCTAGCTGGGTCCCTGGCACACACGTGGGAGACCTGGAACGAGTTCCTGACTTCAGTCTTGCCCAGCCCTAGCTGTTGTAAGCATTTGGGGCAAGGGAATCAGCAGAAGGGAGGTGGCTCTGCATAAGTAAATAAACTACAAAGAAATAAAACACCATCCTGTACCTGAATCTCCAGCTTCATTGCTTGTTTTTTTCCTTTTGCCACGAGACATAGTCTCCTTTTTCTGAGTTTCCTATAAAAATTATAAAGCACATATTTTTCTTTAAGAAGTATTCATTCTTAAAACATAAGCCTTAAGATGACTTATCAAACACAATCAGTATTTTAACTATAATTCCTTAGTTCTAAATTACTTATATCAATTATCTAAATTTGTTTAAGAAAACATTACCAAAAAATTAAATTTTCACAAGACTTTGAGTGGACTTTTAACAATCATTGCGAGGGAGAAAGTGGAACTTCCACTGTGTAAGATTACAACGTGCAGAATCAGGTCCCATTTCTGTTTCCAGCTACAAGGAAGTAACAGTTCTTAAAGCTCTTATAGGGGAAAAGCCTCCCTTCCACCCCTCTAGGTTCTTTGGTTGAACTACAAATTAAGTTGACACGTAAGACAGAAGAACAAGAGAGAAGCCTCACTGAACTGTTGCCATAACACAGTGGGCATTCCCACACAGGATCCCCACAAGAAACGAAGGGCCAGCTAACTGAAGCTGGTGCAGCGTCCTGAGCGCAGAAGGGGGTAGGGGATGCTGTGGGTGGTCGCCACGTAAGTTGTGGTAAGGGGAGGGGAGGAACTGTATGGTCAGTCCTGTAGATGAAAACCCTTCAGGTGGGGCCGGCACCTGCAGTGCCAGCATCCCATATGGGCGCTAGTTCGAGTCCTGGCTGCCCCCTTCTGATCCAGCTCTCTGCTATGGCCTGAGATAGCAGCAGCAGATGGCCCAAGTCTTTGGGCCCCTGCACCCGCGTGGGAGACCCAGAGGAGGCTCCTGGCTCCTGGCTTTGGATCGGCCCAGCTCCAGCCACTGTGGCCATCTGGGGAGTGAACCAGCAGATGGAAGACTCTCTCTCCCTCTCTACCTCTCTGTAACTCTTTCAAATAAATAAAATAAATGTTTAAAAAACAACAACAAAAAATCCTCAGGTAATAAAGGCACTCGACGGCACTGGGGCACACTGGAGAGGTGACTGGCTTGGTTTGAAGATGGATCCTGTGAGCCAGCTGCCTGACTAGGACCTGTGGGCTGATGCTGGGAGTGGAGAGCAAGCCCCTAGCTTACAACTACACAGGGAACAGGTGCCTCAGTGCTGCAAGTGCAAGCACTGAATTCTACCAACAACTGAGTACCCTCGCTCTGAGTCTCTGATGAGATTTCAGCCTTCTGAGATCCTGAGCAGAGAATCCAGCTAAGGTGAGCGCGGACTCCTGACCTACAGAAATTGAGAGACCATAAATGTATGTTTGAAGCCACTAACGTTCACGGTAATCTGGTAGGCAGCTGTTGAAAACAAATAGAGAGGTTGAGTTCCACTGAGGTAGAGAAGCTGGGAAAACACCTTAGGCTTTCCACAAATTGAACCTCACAAAAGTTAAAAAAAAAAAAAAAAGCTGATAAAATTCATGATGATCAGCCAATAATCAAGCTACCTGCCAGAATAAAAGTCAACACTATTCACAAGCCGATACAGAAATTGGAATCTCACAACCTACCATGTCCATTACACAACTGAAAACTACTAGACTGAAAATGTCACACGGTGGAGACCAGAGTTGTGACAAGTGGGGTAAGCCGCTGCCTGAACTCCAGCATCCCACATCAGAGTGCTGGTTCCAGTCCCAGCTGCTCCACTTCTGATCCATCCGTGCTATTGTGCCTGGGAAAGCAGTGGAAGTTGGCTCAAGTACTTGGCATTCCTGATCCTTGTGGGAGACCAGGGTGGAGTTCTTGGCTGTGACCAGGCCCAGCCCCAGTCACTGTGGTCATCTGAGGAGTGAACCAGCAGATGGAAGAATCCTGTCACTCTGCCTTTCATGGGAATAAATCTTAAAAAAAAAAAAAAAAAAAAAAAAAAAAAAAAAAAAAAAAATCACACAGCAAAACATGACTCATAAAGACAGAAAAAGTATGTATTAGAAACCAGCCTGGGGGCTGGCACTGTGGCACAGTGGGTTGACACCCTGGCCTGAAGCACCAGCATCCCATATGTATGCTGCTTCTAGTCCCGGCTGCTCCTCTTCTGATCTACTCTGCTGTGGCCTGGTAAGTCAGTAGAAGATGGCCCAAGTGCTTGGGCCCTGCACCCGCGTGGGAGACCTGGAAGAGGCTCCTGGCTTTGGATCAGTGCAGCTCTGGCCGTTGCGGCCGACTGGAGAGTGAACCATCAGATGGAGGACCTCTCTCTCTCTCTCTGTGTAACTCTAACTTTCAAATAAATAAATAAATCTTTAAAAGAAACCAGCCTGAAGAAGGCCAAGGTGGATTTAGTAAACAAACACTTTAAAGGAGTTATCATAAATGTTACTTCACAAGTAAAAAAAAAAAATAGTCTTAACTAAATAGGAATCGCATAGAAATATAAATATATAAAAAAAGTAAATTCCAGAACCAAACATCTTACATCTAAAGAGAAAAAGAAGCTTATTGGATGGTACATTTTCTTCTAGTGGTTGCTGTAACATATTACTACAAACTTAGCAGCTTAAAAACTGAAATGTATCCTCTGACAGTTTTGAAGGCCAAGTGTGAATCCCTTCAGTGCCCCAAAGTCAGGGTCTGGGCAGGACAGCACGCCCTCTGGAGACGTATGGGAATACTCACTCCTCACTTCTTCCAGCTTCACCCATGGCTACTCCAATCCCTGCCCCCTTCACATCCACTGTTCTGTCTGATCTCCTCTGCCTCTCTTATAAGGATACCTCTGATGACATTTATGGCCACTCACAACAGAGGAGAACCTGGAGTTAAGATGTGGATAGATCCATAAGTGCCAATATCCGTTTGATAGGTATTCCAGAAAAAGAGAATAAAGAGAACAGTGCAGAGGACCTAATAAGAGAAATAGTTGAAGAAAACTTTCCAGAGCTGAAGAAAGATTCAAGTCTTGAGATTGTCAGTGCACACCGAATACCCAGTAAGATTGATGAAAACAGATTCACTCCTAGACACATCTTGGTGAAAATTTGCAATTCCAGTGATAAAGAGAAAATCATAAAGGTTTCCAGAGAAAGGAAAGAAATAACCTACAGAGGAACTAGAATCAGGTTGACTGCAGACTTATCATTGGGCACCCTGGATGCTAGGAGTAAGTGGGCCAATATCATCAAAGTTCTGCAGGAAAAAGGTTTTAAGCCGAGAATCTTATATCCAGCCAAATTAGCATTTGATTTTGAGGGTAAAACAAAGGTGTTTTTCGATATTGAAGAATTCAGGACATTTGTTTCTTGTGTATCCCCTTTGAAAGAATTACTGGAGAATGTGCTTAGTAATCTAGAATGACTCCCAAGACACACATGCCGTGTGCTTTCCTCCTGCCCACACACACCACATCATGTAAAGCACCAGTCTGTACTCAGAATGATGGACAGCCAGTGGCCTACTGGACCTGGGCGGGAAAGAAAGGTCAGGCGTTGTCTTTGTGTTGCTGTAGCCAAAGGATCCATTGAGTGGGCTTCATGACAGCCATCTGCCTGTACAGGGGGAGACTGCTGCTGGTGGGAGGGGAATCATCAATGGATGGGAGGGGGAGGGCAGGCTTGGGAAATGGTGACAGGAGACTCCTGTCACAGAGGGGTTTGAATAGATTTTTAATTTTCATAATGTGAATCTTCAACCTTTACATTAAAACTTAAAATATGCTTCATTTGCTGATTTTTGTAAGAGCGCCTTTTATCTTACTGTCTACAGTCTAATCACATTTACATTTTATTGTATAAGCCCATCCATGGCGAGATCAAATCTTTGCCAAGTGCTTTCTCTTTTTATGACCTACACTTAAAAAATGTTTTAAAATTGAGGGGCTGGCACTGTGGTATAGTATGTTAAGCCTCTGCCTGTGGTGCTGGCATCCCACATGGGTGTCTGTTCAAGCCCTGGCTGCTCCACTTCTGATCCAGCTCCCTGCTAATGGCCTGGGAAAGCAGCAGAAGATGGTCTAAGTGCTTGGGCCCCTGCCACCCACATGGGAGATCCAGATAAAGCTGGCTCCTTGCCTAGCCGTAAGTGCCGAACGACTGGATAGAAGATCTGACTCTCCTCCTCTCTTTGTAACTCTTTCCAATAAATAAATAAATTTTAAGGAAAACAGAAAAAAAAAAAGATGTGGATATATATTTTGGGGGAAGGAGCACAATTCTGCCCATGACATATGGGCTTATTTGCAGATTATAAAGGGCAAAATAATGGCCAGTAAACTTGAAAATACCAAAAAGTTTATCTAATTTGCAGATCAGAGAGAAAAGAGATTCCAAAAAATATGATCAGAGTCTCAGAGACCTGAATACAAATACTCAATGACCTAAAATACATTGAAGTTCAAAAAGAAGACAGCGAGAATGGGGTAGAAAAACTACATTTGAAGAAATAATGGCTGATAATTTCCTGACTTACAGATCTGAGCATCTCAGCAAACCTCAAGCAAGATAAATAATATGATGATCTATCCAGGTATACCATGATTGAAATGTTCAAAACCGCCGGTGCCACGGCTCACTAGGCTAATCCTCTGCCTCCGGCGCCGGCACTCCGGGTTCTAGTCCCGGTTGGGGCACCAGTTCTGTCCTGGTTGCTCCTTTTCCAGTCTAGCTCTCTGCTGTGGCCCAGGAAGGCAGTGGAGGATGGCCCAAGTGCTTGGGCCCTGCACCTGCATGGGAGACCAGGAGGAAGCACCTGGCTCCTGGCTTCGGATTGGCACAGCGCGCCGGCCGTAGTGACCATTTTGGGGGTGAACCAACAGCAAAGGAAGACCTTTCTGTCTCTTTCTCTCTGTCTAACTCTGCCTGTCAAAAAAATTAAAAATTAAAAAAAAAAAAGAAATGTTGACAGCAGCCAGAGGATTCAGACATTGTAAATACACATGAGAACCACCAACAAACTCCTTGACTTCTCATCAAATTCAGCTGAGAACCAGCTGGAATCAGGAGACAACAGAATGACATCTTCAAAAAGCTGGAGGAAAACTGTCAACTCCTAATTCTACATCAAGTGACATATTCTTTAAAAATAGAGGTGAAATAAAGATACTTTCAGATAAAATCTAACAGGCTGTCACCACCAGACCAGAAATAAGAGGAATGCTAGGAATGCTCCATAGGCTGAAGGGAAAAGATGAAACTCAGATCTGTAGGAAGGTGATAAGAGAACTGGAAAGGAGAAGTGAGAGGGCAAAAGTAAAAAGATGACACATTTTTTCTTCTTATCATTTCCTTAAAAACACTGCCTCAATCAAGAATGACAGTATTTGGGCTGGCACTGTGGCATAGGGGACTAAGCCCCCGCCTGTGTCACTGCATCCCACATGGGCACCAGTTCAAGTCCCGGCTGCTCCTCTTCTGATCTGGGAAAGCCGTGGAAGATGGCCCAAGTGCTTGGGTGCCTACACCCACATGGGAGACCCAGAGCTCCTAGCTCCTCATCAGCTCAACTCTGGCTGTTGTGGCCATTTGGAGAGTGAACAAGTAGATGGAAGATTTTTCTGTCTCTGTAAATCTGAAACTCTGCTTCTCACTCAAATAAATAAATCTTTAAAAAAATGAATATTGTGAGGTCAGATTTACCATCTATAAGTAAAATATGACAAAAATAGTACAGAGGATGGGGGATGAATAAATGAAATTATACTGTTATGTAATTACATTATATAGTGGGAAGAAATTGTCAGCTATGAAGTAGGATATACAAGGATGACAAAGTAACACACTGATTCCAAATAGATTGCTAATTTAAGGATGTGTGTGTATGGGTACACACACACACACACACGTAATATTTTTTTAAGAACCTGCAAGAGAACCCCCATCTGCTGGTTCGCTTTCCAAAGGCCTGCAACAGCTGGGGCCTTTGGAAAGGACGGATCACTGGAGCCATCACCTGCTGCCTTCCAGGTACTGCACTGGCAGTAAGCTGGAGTCAGGAGATGGCAATCAAGCCCAGGTACTCCCAGGTGGCACATGGGCATCATAACTGCTAACCCAAGTGCCTACTTCCGAGGATGCATTTTTTTTTTTTTTAAGATTTACTTATTGGGGCTGGTGCCGTGGCTCACTTGGTTAATCCTCCGCCTGCGGCACTGGCATCCCATATGGGCGCCAGGTTCTAGTCCCAGTTACTCCTCTTCCAGTCCAGCTCTCTGCTGTGGCCCGGGAAGGCAGTGGAGGATGGCCCAAGTGCTTGGGCCCCTGCACCCACATGGGAGACCAGGAGGAAGCACCTGGCTCCCGGCTTTGGATCGGCATCGCTCCGGCCACAGGGGCCATTTGGGGAGTGAACCAACGGAAGGAAGACCTTTCTGTCTCTCTCTCACTGTCTAACTCTGTCAAATAAAGAAATTTTAAAAAAGATTTATGTATTTATTTATTTGAAAGGCAGAGTTACAGAAGTGCAGAGGGAGGGAGGGAAGGAAGGAATAGGGGAGAGGCAGGGAGAGAGGGAGAGGCAGGGAGAGAGGGAGAGAGGGAGAGAGGGCTAGAGGGAGAGAGGGAGAGAGGGAGAGAGGGAGAGAGGGAGAGAGGGAGAGAGGGAGAGAGGGAGAGAGGGAGAAAGAAGAGAGAGTCTTCCATCTGCTGGTTCACTTCTTAGATGGCCGCAATGAACAGAACTGCACCGATCTGGAGCCAGGAGCTTCTTCCAGATCTCCCATGTGGATGCAGCGGCCCAAGGACTTAAGCCTCCTTTACTGCTTTTCCAGGCCATAGCAGAGAGCCAGATGGGAAGTGGAGCAGCCCAGATTCAAACTGGCAGCTATATGGGATGCTGGCATGCAGGTGGCAGCTTTACCTGCTACACCACAGCGCCGGTCCTAAGGATGCACATTTTTAATCTAGAAGTGACTGCTAACAAAAAAAAAAAAAAAAAAAAAAAAAAAAAAAAAAAAAAAAAAAAAAAAAAAGCATGGCTCATAAGCTAATAGAGAAAATAAAGCAGAATATTGAAGAATATTCAATTAATCAAAAATTAGCAATAGAAGGACAGAAAAACAAGAAATGGAAAATACTAAGATTGAGTTGAATATCTAAAATTATATAAAAATGGATTTTAGAGAATTGGTGGGACAGGAGATACAAATGGAAAATAAACAGCAAAATAGTTGACTTAAACCAAACCATTTCAATAATTACATTACAAGCAAATGAACAAACAATCCAATCCAAAGGCAGAGGCCATCAAACCAGGATAAGGACTTGCTGCCTGAAGTCCTTTTTAAATTTAAAGACAAAAACAAATTGAAAATTAATGAATTAAAAAGTTTACCATGCAAAGTAAGCTTAAGAAGGCTCTTGTAGCTATATTAAGATCTCACAACATAGATTTTCAAGATTTCATAATAATACTAGAAGCCGTTCATCAGAAAGACACATACTTAAATAAACACACAATTAGAAACAGCTTTATATGGAGTGGAATGGTGGTTCCCAGAGGCTGGGGAGAGGCGGGAGTAGGGAAGTACTCATTCAAGGGTACAAAGCAGGGCCCGTATAATGCATCCCACAAGGGTACCAGTTCGAGTCCTGGCTGCTCCACTTCTGATCCAGCTCCCTGCTGATGTGCCTGGGAAAGCAGCAGAAGATATCCTTACTACTTGGACCCCTGCACCCATGTGGGTGACCTGGATGAAGCTCCTGGCTCCAGGCTTTGGCCTGATCCAACCCTAGCTGTTGTGGCCATTTGAGGAGTGAATCAGTAGATGGAAGATCCCCCTGTCTCCCTATTTCTCCCTTTCTCTAACTCTGCCTTTCAAATAAATAAATAAATAAATAAATATTTTTTAAAAAAAGGTACAAAGCTTCAGAAAGACAAGAGAAATAAGTGTTTGAGATCTATCACACAGCCTAATGACTGCAGCAAATAACAATGTATATCTCAAAAATAGCTATGAGAAATTTCAAATGTTTCAGTACAAGAAAGGGTAAGTGTACAGGTGGATGGATATATTACCTTGAGCTAATCATTCACAATATATATATATCAAAACATCACATGTATCCCATAAATAATTTAAAATAATATATAATGATAAAAAGCTTTAGGGGAAAACAAAGCTTCAAGTTCATAACACAAAACTTCAAAGAACTAAAGAAAATTCATCACGTTATGGTGTTAAAAAAAATCTATGTATCTGTCAGATCAAGTAGACTATGACGCCCCTCATCAAAAAACAAAATGAAAAAACCCTCCAAACAACCAAAGCAGGAAGGACCCACAGCATCTTAACTTCACCATCAGCCAACTCGACGTCAGCTGACTTTCAGAACACCATGCCTGACAACTGCAAATTCAAGTCACAGGGATGTTCACCGAGACAGACCTAGTAAGTAAGAGGCAGAACATGCATAGCGCAGGGGCCTATGTCGTGACACAGCAGGCAAAGCTGCCACCTACAATGCTGGCATCCCACATGGGTGCCAGTTCCTGTCCCAGCTGTTCTACTTCCGATCCAACTCCCTGTTGATGGCCTGGGAAAAGCAGTGGAAGATGGCCCAAGTTCTTGGGCCCCTGCCACCCACATGGGAGAAATGGATGAAACTGCTAACCCCAGTTTCAGCCTGGCCTAGCCATGGCAGTTGCAGCCAATCTGGGGAGTGAACCAGTGGATGGAAGGATGGAAGACCTCTCTCTCTCTCTCTTTCTGGGGAGTGACCCAGTGGATGGAAGATCACCCCCGCCCCCATTCTGCTTGTCTCTCTGTAACTCTCTGAAATAAATGAAAAAGAAATAAGAAAATATATTGATATTTCCTCGTACATGCAGAAGGAAATTCTGGAAGAATATGTAAGAAACTAATTACCTATGTGTACATTTAGTGAGTGGGAAGGTGGAGAGTGGAAAATGGGGTAGCAGGAACATTTTACTATTCTGTAACATTTTTCCAAACATGACATGAATTATTTATTCAAAATGTTAAACCAAGTGAGTACAGTGACATATTAACAACTTGACCAAAATATGTCAAGGATCTTAGAACAAATTCTGAGGAATTTTATCAGAATTTTTTTAAAGGAAATGATCAGGGGTGCACACCAAGATTTAGCTACAAAAGGCTTCATGAAGGCACTTAAAAACTGTCTAAGTACAGTTATTCATTAATAAGAGTAATTAAACTGTGGCATATCCGTGGACAGAATGTTTTGCATGTTTTAAAAAATATTTCTTTATTTGAAAGAGTTACAGACAGAGGTAGGGAGAGAGAGAGGTCTTCCACCCACCAGTTCACTCCCCAGATGGCTGCAAGGGCCAGAGCTGAGCCAGGAGCTTCCTCCCATGTCAGTGCAGGGGCCAACAGCTGGGCCATCTTCTGCTGCTTTCCCAGGCACAACAGCAGGGAGCTGGCTCGGAAGTGGCGCAGCCGGGACCTGAGCTGGCGTCCGTATGGGATGCCCGGGCTGCAGACTGGGGCTTTGACCTGCTGTGCCACATTGGCGGCATGTTTTGTGTCTGTTAGAAAGGCACTGTGGGGTACTTCATGACCAGTGCGGGAGCCCACCGATGGTGAGAAATGCCCAGCCGTAGGGCTGAGGATCCCCGAGGCTAGTTTGGGGCTGCAGAAGCGGAGGGGAGTTTGATGTTCTCTTCTAGATTTCCTAAAACATGTTTATCAACAGAAGAATGTAAAATTCATCGTTTGAAAGAACAGAAGGAAGTAAAGAAAATACACCATTTTCCAGTAAACCTTTTCTATCCCACGGGGCGGTCTCACCACGGCCGGGGTCCCTCTGTCCGCAGGTGCACCGCTGCCACGGCCGCCTCCCGCCTCGGGCCTCTCTGACCGCGGCCGTCTCTCGGGAAGCCCCGACGGCGCCCCGGCCGGAACAGTGTCACACCGTCGCGCACCGATTCTCTCTGGTGACTGAACTTTTCTTCGTATCTCACTTTCTCCCGAGCTGTCAGAGCCATCGCTAAGGGGCTTACATCTTCTTCCAGGCTGCGAGAAGCAAACAGCGTCACGGGTCTGGAAAACACGACCGCTCACCCTCCTGACGGCAATGGTGCCACGCTGCGGCGCGAGCTTCTATAGCCCAGGGAGATGGCAGCTGAGCAGTGGACAGAACAGGAAATCTACAAGCCAGAGCTCCACGTCAACACTCCCCACCATCCCCTCTGCCGCTGAGGCCCCAGCCCCAACACGGCGCGCCACCGCTCTGAAAACTGGCAGAGGCGTCTGCACCGTGCCTTAACGAAAAGCACTTCAGGTTTTAAAAACTCACTTTTAGCCCAAAAACGTCCTCTGGAACATAGCGCTTTATGAAAACTGCCGCCACAGAACACTCTCCACAGTCAACTGGAGTGTGAAATGCCTGTCGGAGTCTGAAGAACAGGCGCACGTACCTTTGTGGCTCTCAGTTTTACAGACGTGCTTTCACTTGCTTCATTTGCAGAAGTGCTCAAGCTGTAGGAAAGAACAAGCCATCAGTATCTTGCACACATTCGCACATGGTTCTACGAGTGCTCCCCCGACACGAGCACCGCTCAGTTTACTCTGGGGCTAGCCAGTTTGTCACGGGCAGGCCGGTCGCCTTCCTAGTTTCATTGGCCGCCTCCCAGACCCAGCCACATTGGTTTGTCCCAGGCGGGCAGAAGGCAGCGCTCCAGGGCTGCTGCAGTTTGGTCATGTCCGAGAACTGCGCCTTCCTCCAGGTTACCAGGGCCGTCCTCTGTACCAAAAGCTAATCCACTAGACTCAACTCTGGTGATCCAACAGGGAATCTCCTCTTTCGCCCTAAAAGTAACCCTGACTTCTGATGGAAGGTGAGAATTTTCATCTTTTCATTCAATACAATCCATCAAACACGTAACATCAACCACAAATGCACTCACTTTAAAACTGAGGCCTCAGGTGGGCGTTTAGGCTAATGATGACTATGCCCAAATTCCACACCTGAGGACCTGGGTTTCATACCTGGTTTCTGAGAAATGCTGTTGGCCTCTCTGTAGTGGGTGCGTCCCTGCTGCCCCAACTTCCTTTTCTGTTTACCTGCATTACTTACCCAAATGATGTCTCTTGTTGGGACTTGACATGACACCAAAACCAAGGTTACCGAGAACAGTCTCTGGTTAAATGCAAAGAACGCTCGTGCTCAGGCCTCGCCTCACGTGCTTCTCAGCTGCATTTGACCCTCCTTACTTAATTTCTCTCCCTCCCTCCTCTCTCCCATTTCCCTCCCCCCACCTCACTCACACACACACAATTCTGTGAATAAACACTGCCCTGGTTCTCCTCTCTCTTTTCCAGCCACTTTCCCCCTCTCTCCTCTACAACTTCCTTCTCTACTCAGGCAGTAGATGCCATGGCCTCTTATGGGTTAGTCCCAGGCCCTTGCCTCCTCTCAGGTTAGCTTCATACCATCCGCGTGCAAAGAACGTCTAACTTAAGCTCAGCCCTGTGCTCTGAGTTCCAGACTCAAATACACAGGGTCTCTGACATCTCCATGTCAAACTGATGATCTGCCCACACAACTCCATGTCCCAGCAGCCCGTATCTTAGTCAATGGCACCATCATCAATCCATTCAAGCAGGCAAGGAATTCAGGAGTTACCACCGGTAGCAACTCGTCCCGTGCTGCGAAGTCAGCACATCACTAAGTCTTGCTCATTTGCCTCCTGCTTCTCAAGTCCATCCACTTCTCTCCACCTCTGCCGTGATGACCTGAGTCTACAGCATCCAAACTGGGCTCCCTATGCCATTCTTGTCTCTCTCAAATCCACTTGCCAGACAGCAGCGAGGCTGGTAATTTTTAAATGTAGATCCTACCATGTCATCCCCTACTTAAAACCCTCCAACTGCTCTTAGGATAAGGATAAAACTCTCTTTACCAAGTTTACGAGAGAGAATTAGGATGGCTGCACATTGTAAAAAATATATTCCCAAAATGGCTCGGATAAGACACTTGTCTTTCCTTCTTGGCCAAACTCCAGAATAATTTAGGGCTGGTGTAGTAGTCCCGTTATCAGGAGACCCAGGTGCCTTCTATCCATTGCTCTCTCAGTACACCGCCTCACGGCCCAACATGGTTGCTCGGTCTTCACCACCACATCCCATTCTAACTAGGAGGAAGAAGGATGGAAAACAGAAGAGCACAATCCTCCCCACAAAGATACTTTCAGAAGTGAGACTCCATTTTAGCTAGAATCTAATCACACACACACATCTCAGCTGCAACAGCACGGAGACAGTATGTTTAGAATTCTGACAGCCATGTGTCCAGCTAAAACCATTCTATTACTAGAAGGGGGAAAAATATTCCTATTACTACAGCAGAAGGAAACAAACGAGACCACTACAGGCAGGTATTCTGGGTCATTCAGGTGTCAATTATGTTAATTACAAAAATTATTATAGGTAATGCCAATTATAGAGAAATTAGTTTTTAATGTTCACATTCTCAAAATAAATGTCAAAACTTGGGTTTTATTAGCTTCTAACTTGAAGAACTTCCCAGAAATCTCAGAGCGTGAACCAACAATAGCTTGACGTAACCCTACCTTTCTTTCGTTGCTTTTCCTGGAGGAGTTGAAGGGACAGATGACCCACAGTGTTGGGAGAGTTCTTCTTCATCAGCATATATAGCAGTGCTGTGTAGGGGAGGATCTGTATAAGACCAAAAATGTACAACTTCAGTGGTCTATGTGGGCAGTGTCAATTCCCTGATACTGGAGTACTTCAGTGGTCTATGTGGGCAGTGTCCATTCCCTGATACTGGAGTACTACACCATCTTTGTTTAAATGGTTAACAAAACCAAAATCAGTCCTACAGGCCACTCCCAAATGCTTTTCCATATCACTCCCCTTCCTCTCTTTCACTCTGGGTTGCTAGAGCCTTTGAATGGCATAGAAAGTCATCTTGAATGAAGAAGATGACCAAAGAACTGATCCTGGTAGAAAGGCATAGAAAGGAGATGCTTGGAGGAGGGAGGATGCTCTGGCTACCCAGGAAAGGGGAGTACAGGAGATCTCGGTGCACTAGGCTGGGCTTATGGTGGTAATGAACTTGGCGGGGCAGTGAGGTGGCCAGAAGTGCTGCAGGGGGAGGGGGTCCTGGTAAGACTCAAACTACTATTTCTTCAGGCTCAAATTTTAGCACACCAGGTGCAAATGCAAGCAAAATTTTCCAGATATACAGGTGCTTAAATAATGAACTGTCAATTGCACAAGTTATTTTTTTGCGGGGAGGATTAAAATGTTTATTTTGGAGCAAAAAAAATATCTATGCATAAGCAGAATATTCAGAAAGCTCACAGAAAAAATTATATAAAATATGTACATGGGCCAGCACTGTTGCGCAGTGGGTTAATGTCCTGGCCTGACACGCAGGCATCCCTTATGGGCACCAGTTCAAGACCCGGCTGCTCCACTTTTGATCCAGCTCTCTGCTATGGCCTGGGAAAGCACTGGAAGATGGCCCAAGTCCTTGGGCACCTGCACCTGTGTGAGAGACCCAGAAGAAGCTCCTGGCTCCTGGCTTCGTATTAGTGCAGCTCTGTCCGTCACAGCCATCTGAGGAGTGAACCACCACATGGAAGACCTCTCTCTGTGCCTCTCCTCTGTGTAACCCTGACTTTCAAATAAATAAAATCTTTAAAAAACTTATGTACATATTTCAATTTTTTGTACCAAGTTAATCTTTTGTTTCCCACTACCTTCTGAAGATATGTATGTATGTGTGCATATATGTAGACAGACAGACATAGCATGGGGCAAGACAAACTGACCATCTTCCCCACCCCTCCCCCAATCCCTTGAGATAGTCTCCATTCTTCAATATGTGTTTATTCTGGTCTGTGCTGGGCCACACACGGAAAGGGAACCTTGTCCGACTTGCATCCTCACTGAGGAGGGCAACATTCCTCCACGCCCCCACCTCACGCCCACTCCAGGGTCTGCTCAGGAAGTGCTGCAAGGCTGGGGTGCAGTCAGGCACCAAGGCCCTGCCTGTGGTCCTCAAACACGGGGTGTGACTAAGAGGGAGCTGGAAGCCCAGGTAGCAAGGCTCTGCCGGCCAGAGGAGAGTGGTAGGTGAGGGGAGGGACGAGCCCAATACAACACGTGCCTTTCCCCGCCCCCTCCAGTTTTGCTGCTTCCAGCAGGCATGCAAAGCCCAGGCGGAAAACCAGGAACCCGAGGAGGGGAAAGAGGAGAGATGGAGGCAGAAGAGAACGAGGCTGGGGGCTCAGGTAAGGCAGGTCAGGCCAGCGCTGGGGCCCCAGGAGCGGGACGGGAATCGTGACTGGCACCTCTCTGCTACCTGACAGATGAGGGTGAGAAGGGCAGCGGCAGTGAAGACGCATGCTCGGGCAGCGAGAGTGAACAGGAGAGGGGTGACAGGGACGAGGCGAGTGACAAGAGTGGCAGTGGCGAGCAGGAGAGCCCAGGCCTCCTGGGACAAGCAGATGATCTGGCTGCGATGCCGATCTAGAGGACGATGCCAACTCTGACGAGCACGATGAGCCTGTGGTGCAGTGACAGTGACTCGGACAGCAGCAGAGACGCAGGTGCTTAGCGGAGTCACAGGCAGAGCGCCAGTCCCCGCCCCCGTGGCAGGGAGTACTTGGCCCAGGGGGACAGCAGTGAGCCTGCAGCCTCTGACTCCAAGGAAGCTGACAGTGCCTGAGCCCCAGGGCTGGCACAGGCACCGTTACTGATCAGCTGCACAAGAGTGAAACTAGCAATGGACTCTCTACTCTCTTCACCAGGAAAGGAGTTATTTACCCTGCTGCTGTGAATAACAACAAAACAACAGACAGATCCCAAATCTCCAAGTGGAACCATTCCAACTGAATGTTTACAACGTAATAAAACCCAATTGAAAAACAGGCAGAGTTTGAATAGACAGTTCTTCAAAAAGGATGTTCAACTGACCAATAGGAACATTAAGAAGATGCCTAATAACTACTAGTCATTTAGGAAATGCAAATGCAAAACCACATTAAGCTATTATGTTGTATCTCTTAGTATAAAAAACAAAGTAAGTGTAGGTGAGGATGAGCAGCAGTTGGGACCCTGTGCACTGCTGGTGGGAATTTGAAATGCTGCAGTCACTGCACAAGACAGCACAGCATGTTCTGAATACAAACACAGCACTCCTGTATGAACCAGCCACTCCACTTCTGGCTATGTTCCTAAAGAAGTGAAAGCAGGTTCCAGAAGAGAGAAATTGCGCAACCTTGTAAATTACAGCATTATTCACAACAGTCAACAGGTGGAAGCAAACCAACATCCATCAACAGACGAATGGATAAATGTGGTACATACATAGGATGGAATATTATTCAGCTATAAAAAGGAAATGCTGACATATGTTACAGGAGGGATGAACCGTAAAGACATTACATTAAATAAACTGGCTACAAAAGGGCAAATATTCTATGATACCTCTTATAACAGGTGTTAAAGCAGTCCAATTCATAGAGAAAGAAAGTAGAATGGGAGTTAAAAAGGCCTGGACAAAGGGAAAATGGGGAATTGTTCAATTGGTACAGGGTTTCAGTTAGGATAGATGAGAAAATTCTGGAGATGGATTGTCATACAGTTATACAACATAAATGCTGATAGTGTTTTCAAGAGGGCAGAATAGGAAGGCAGCTTACTGCTCTAGTCTAGATGAAGATGGTTAAGAAAAATAAAGGTGAGAGGCTGCAACCTCAGGGCACAGTTAGGGAGAAAAAGGCAGAAGAAACCATTAGAGGGACACTGTGCATCTACGTGGAGGGTGTGGATGCACACAACTCAGGACCCCAGCGACCAAGAGCCTCAGCACCAGCTTTGGAGTGAGGAGACACTGGCAAGAAGGCTGTGGGAAGAGTCTGGTATGAGTCTGGCTTGGAGCCTGGAGGGGGGACAGTGAACCTGCCAACCTAGAGGGGAAAAAAAAGAGGGTTTCTGTTTCTCCCTGACCAGTCGGCACCAGTGTCCTGTCCTGCAACGAGCTGAGAGGGCAGGCAGCATTTTGGACACACATAACAGCTGCGCCCGCTGGTGTCCATGTGCCCAGCAACCAGCCAAGAGGAAACGCCCGAGTCTGGGTGGGATAACTGACAGGGGGCTGGGTGCCCGTGACTTGGGAGCCTCGTGTGCTATGACTGTGAAAACACTGGCTGCATCGGAGGGCGCAGGGTGTGGCTGGGTCTCTGGGCAGTCACTGTGGCGGCTCCACATGCTGGAGGTCCCTGATTCCCTGGTGAGGGTCACTGCTACAGGATCCATGTCCACCCCGAGGACTGCAGGGATACTTTGAGTTGTTCTCGTGGCAGCATGGATGAGAACTGTACCCACTGGGGCTATTGCCCAGGCGCTGGTCTCCTTTGAGAGGAAGGGAGCATGAGAATATACCAACATAGCTGAACAAACTTCCCCTCTGATAAAAAAAAAAAAAAATTTACCACACCTAACTTGGGTGTCACCTTGGACACATCCCTCACCCCAGAGCACTGAACAGACTTCCCTGACCACACCAAGCACACGCTCGGGTTATTACTGAAACAGCAGAGGCAAAGTTCAAAGATAAAAGCCATCACAGGGCCAAAAGAAACAAACAAACAAAAAAACCCAACAACTATCACCACAAATACCTAATAATAAATGCAGAAATTCAAGAAACAAGGATAAGGACAACATGACAGCCCCAAAAGAACACAACACTTCAATACCAGAATGTGAAGATGAAGAGACTGACAAAACACCAGAAATGGAATTAAACTAATCACAGGATTACCTAGAAGTAATCAGAAGCAAATTCATTAACTAAAGAAACCTGTACATGGCATGAATGAAACTTTTTCCCATGAAACTGAGATTTTACAGAGAAGTGAAAAGGAATTATTGGTAATGAAGGATTCAGTAGAACCAATAAAAGTACTGTGGATAGCCATAAGAACAGACTTGGTAAGGCAGAAGAGAGAATATCCAAGTTAGAAAACAAATCTTTGGAAATTTTACAGACAAAAAAAAAGGGGGGGGGAGAAATTGGAAAACTGAAAAACACCATTGGAATTTATGGGATACTAACAAATGACCCAACATACAGGTCTTAGGAGTTCCTGAAAGGGTGGAAAGACGGAATGGATTTGCAGGCCATTTTAGTGAAATAATTACATAAAGAAAGGGATGTCCAAAAAGGAAGCACTTAGAACTCCTAATAGACACGATCAGAAAAGATCTTCGCCACAAAACGTTGTAGTCAAACTCTCCACAGTAAAGCATAAAAGATTCTAAAATGTGCATGAGAGAAATGCCAGGTTATTTTCAGAGGATCTCCAATTAGACTCACAGCTGAATTCTCTTCAGAAATGAGATATATTCCAAGTCTTAAGAGAAAAAAACTGTCAACCTGGAATACTGGACTCTGCAAAGCTCTCATTTACAAATGAAGGTGAAATAAAGACCTTCCACAACAGAGATTGAGTTTGTCAGTACTCGTCCAGCCTTACAAAAGGTACTTAAGGATGCACTACACACAGAAACATGGTCATCACTATGAAAGAAGATGAGGGCGGACAATCTCCCAGTAAAAGTACAAAGGAAATCCAAAGTAAACAATAGGAATGTTTATGGGGAAATGGCAGGGCCAAGTCATTACTTATCAATAGTCAACT